TCCCTTACTTATCAATTGAGAACGCAGATTAATTTATTGTTACTTATGGATAATCAAACTGCCCCGATAAAAAGAACAGATTAGTAATTAATGTAATTTACTTTTGTTATGCTTTAATTTATCAAACGAGCTGCCAGTGAAATGATAAGAGTATCTTAAAAAAAAAAAAAAATATAACACGTAAAACACGCGTAGAGTGAAATTCGTGACAACGCGTATTCAAATGTAAATTTGATTTGTATTGAAAGACTTGTTGCATGATGCATATAAACGATGTCGCTTGTTGCTTCATCATAAGCCTGTCATCGTTGACAATGAAACAAACAGGGATAAATTATGTAAGATGGAGATAATAAACACATCGATCGATAGTAGAATGAAATTATATGCAAAATGAAAGATCAATGCCTTACATTTTATTTGAGTGAATAAACCTAATTGAAAAATATGCATATAAGATAATAATATTATAAATTTTTGATTTTTAAAAATGTACATATACGATATATTTGGATTTTTTCTATTAAAAATTGATTATTAATGATTTTTTAATCGCTAGAATGAATGTTTTCATTTTTATCGATTTGAATTTTTATTTATTATTAGCTTCAAAGATTGATAATATACAGAATAGATCTGTACATGAACATGTATTAAGTAGAAGAAAGACAAAAATAGTATAAAAATATTGAAATCAACGCCATCTTCAGAGTGCCGCAAATGAAACTTAGAAAAAAAGGATAGAAAATATTGGAAAAAGGATAGAGATAGAACAAGAATTAACTATTATATAACTATAACTTAGTGCCATCTATTGGCATAATATCAAACACACTCTTTTAAAGATAAGATAAAATAGAAAAAGAATTTAGAATTAACGCCATCTTTTGAGTGTATATATTTTAAAAGAAAAATATTTCTTTGAAAAAATTTCTTTAACATTCGAGAGATAGCGCTAATAGTCAATTCTTATCCATCTCTATCCTTCTCTTATTATTTTCTTTCCTCCTTTCTTTTTCTGTTTCATTTACGGCACTCTAGAGATGGCGCTGATTTCACAATTTTTACTTTATTCTATCCTTTTTTCCACTCTTTCCTCTCTTTGTTTATACTTTACTATAAAATTTATACATCTGAGATACATAAGAGATAATCTCTAATTTATTTTATCTTTTTTACTTAACCTATTATCTAATTTATATCAAAAATTTCGATTTTCTATTCGATATAACTTTTATATGCCGTAAGTATATATATATATATATCGTATATATATTTATTTATACATATTTTTTTATTATATATATACTTTATATGTATATTAATATTCTTATATGCATAAGGAATATATACACACGTGTTTGGTATTAAATAAAATAAGAAAAAAAATTTTTTTTAAATTAGATCCTATATTCTTCTTTATTAATAATAATATTATTGTTGTCATTTAACATTAAAATATAAAACTTTATTTTACTGCGCTATTTAATATATATATTTTTTATAAATATATTTTATAAATATTTTATAAATATAAAAAATATAAATATTTTTTGTGATAAAAGTATAATTTACAAAAGTGATCTTATTTATTAATAATGTAACGTGTGTGAAAAATAAAATAATTTATAATATTAATTATAATTTCACATAGTTATTTAATGTTATAAAATAATGTTAAAAATGTTAAAAAAATATTATATGATATATATATATATATATATATATATATATATAATATATATCAAATAACATTTCTTTTCATAATACAATATTAAATTTTCTTTTTATGGATTAAACTCCATTGCATTTAATTTTTATTAAATAAAAAATGAAATCATTTTTATATTTTTATTTATATAAAAATTATAAATTAAATATTTACAGATTTAAAAAAATTAATTTTATATTTTTGCGTAACATGGAACAATGTGCAAAAAAACTAAAATTAAATAATATAAATATAAAAGAAGGAGAGGCAGAAATTCTGGTGAATGATACAAATGTATTTTATAATCCTGTTCAAGAGTTTAATAGAGATCTTAGTATAGCTGTATTAGCCACTTACATAAAAAATATAAATAAACAAGCAATAGAGATAAATGCAAAAAAAAAAGATGAAATCTGTATATTGGAAGCTTTATCTGCAACTGGTTTACGTAGTATTCGGTATGCCAAAGAAATAATGGGTATAAAACAAATTATAGCAAATGATATTTCTGCAAAAGCAGTAGAAAGTATTAAAAAAAATATATATCACAATGGAGTTGGAAATCTTGTAAAACCAAGTCAAGAGGATGCAACATTGCTTATGTACCAAAATAGAAAAAGCAAATTTGATGCAATAGATTTAGATCCATATGGTTGTCCTACAACATTTTTGGATAGTGCAGTACAATGCGTATCAGATGGTGGATTACTTATGGTTACAGCTACAGATATGGCTGTATTAGCTGGCAATTCTCCTGAAACTTGTTATCTTAAATATGGTGCTATCTCATTAAGAACTAAAGCTTGTCATGAAATGGCATTAAGAATATTGTTGCAAAATATTGCTTCACATGCTGCTCGTTATGGTAGATACATAATACCCATACTTTCTGTAAGTGCTGATTTTTATATAAGAGTATTTGTCAAAGTATTTTCCAGTCAAATTAAATGCAAAGAGAATGCTACAAAAATTGGAATGGTATATCAATGTACAGGCTGTGAGACTATTACTACTCAATCATTATGTTATAAAAAGTCTTCAGGAGGCTATAAATTAACATCTTCACCTTATGTGGATCAATCTTGTAAAATTTGTAATTATAAACATCATGAAGGAGGACCTATATGGTTAGGTCCTTTACACGATCAACATTTTGTATCTGATCTTCTATGTAATTTAAATGAAATGAAATTGGGAACATTGAAAAGGATAGAAGGAGTTTTAAATGTTATTCATGAAGAGCTAGATATTCCATTATATTATACTCTTAATCGTTTAATGTCTATAATCAGATGTATTACACCATCAACACTAATATTTCGATCTGCATTGTTAAATGCAGGATATCATGTATCATATTCACATGCGTGTAAAACATCTATAAAAACAGATGCTCCAAATGAAGTTATATGGGATATAGTACGTGCATGGGAAAAAAATAATCCCATAAAAAGAAATAAACTGTCAAATGATAGTCCTGCAATAAAAATATTAGATACACCAATAACTACAAATGTTTCATTTGATATACATCCTCTAGCCAATCCAGTATCTAGACAAAACAGGCTAACACGATTTCAACAAAATCCTACAGTTAATTGGGGACCTGGAACACGTTCAAAAACAAGAATAGATTTAGAAAATGGAGATGAAATTCCAAAAAAGATAAAAAATCAGAATAAAAATTCTAAAAAAGAGAAATCACAAGTAACAAATGATATGGAAAAAATAAAACCTTTATAAAATATTTTATTTCTATTTGTAAGTCTTTATTGAAAATATAAATGTATATAAATGTATCAATTAATAACTTCTCATAAATATAATAAAATTTAAATATAATTTCTTTTTTTTTATATTTTAAATATATATTTTATAATATATATATTTTAAATATTTTTTTAAAATTATAAACATGAATATATTTATTACTTAAAACTTTATATCATTTTTTTCTTAAAATATTTAAAAATTTAAAAATCAAATATGTTCACACAAAAAAAAATATAATATTTAAATATATATATAAATATAATATTTAAATATATTTACAACAAAAAAAGTTTTAATATTATATAATAATGTAAAATTGAAATATAATTGAACCATATACAGTATTTAAATATAATCATGAAATGAATTATGAAAATATTTAAACACATGAAGATAAACAACTTTTATCTCATTTTTGCATATCAGCATTATAATTAACATATTCAATTAATATTCAATTAAAATTACATACTTAATATTTTTTTAAATAATAATAACAATATTATTATAATAATATAATTCACAATTAATTCATTATATTAATTATAATAATTAATCAATATCTAATCAAAAATCAATTTTAGAACTTATAAAAATGATTTATTATATATATATGAAATAATATATTTGAAAGAGTTGATTCTCAAAATGTTATTAAAAAGTTATAACAAAATAATTTTATAATAGAGACATAAAAAAGTACTGAAAATTAATAAAACAAATAAAAAAGAAAATTTTGTAAAAAAGTATGTCATTAAAGACGTTATCTTTCGAGATACGGTCATACTATCAAATAAATAGAAATTTAATATTTTTAATTCAGATATACTGTAATGTACTTATTTGAAAGAAAAAATGAATATTAAAAATTATATTTGATTTTTATATTTTATATTATAATTATAATTTATATATTTATATTTTTACATAAGAATTTAAATCGAAAAATAAAATTATTTTATTATAATTAATAAAAATATATGAAAGCTGACGAAAATTATATAATTTTAAATAAAAACTTTAAATGTAAGTATTATAGAATTAATTATATATTAATATAAAAATAAATTAAAATAAAATACTATAAAAATAATTAATAATAATTAATTATATATTATAATATTAATATTATATTAAAATATTTTTGTGCTATACTAATTATAATAAATTACAAATATTTTATATATATATCATAATTTGATAATCTCAAAATATTTTCATGTTATCGATATTATATTAGATTTTTTGTTAATTCATTATGACAATAATAAATATAAAAAATATTTTTCATGAAACTACGTATATTATCTTGCAACTTATATTTTGTAAAATTTTATGAAGTTTTTTTCATAAATAATTATATTTTTGTAATATTTTTTTTATACATTTTTTTATAAACAGAAAATATATTGAATTGATTGTATAAAAAGTTTCATTTGATAATAATATTAATAGTAGAAGCTGTAAAGTGGGGGAACATTTATATATCCATGTATCATTCGTATCTGTATTTTAGAACAGTAACTATTGAGTACCATACTTTGACGCAACAGGATGGCGGTACCAACTATTACATTGAATAATGGATATAAAATTCCTGTACTAGGACTTGGTACTTGGCAATCTGCAGTAAGTTTTTTTTGCTTAAAAATAATAAAATATATAATTTATTTTTAAAATTTACAAATATCATATATACATTTAAAATTTCTGATTAATTTTTAACTTTATATTTCTTTAAAATGATATTTAAAAGATTTTCATCTAATATTAAATATAAAGATGTACAAATAAAAAAAATAGAACAAATGAATGCTATTTATTATATTATTATTTAAATAACAGTATTTTTTGTTATAATCATATAAAATTCTATTGTTTAAATATTTAAACTTGACATGATGTTTTACCTCCCAAATATTCAATCAAATTTAAATTCGAATAAAACTTTTAAAATATTTGCCATATTTTTTTTGAAACAATAAAAAGTCTTTCTCATTAATTTTTACCTTTTATTGTATATATGTTATTGTACATATAATGTAAACGATGTAATAAAAATAACATTTGTAATATATAATCTTTTATAGATTAATATAAAAAATGTGATGATGATCATATATTATATTATTTTTTAAAATATTACATCATCGAGTGATAAGAAACAGGATTTGTATATACGTATATATAATATTGAAAATATTATTCATTAATAAGATAAAAAATTCAATAATGTGATCTAAAATTATTTTATTATATATATTAATATAAATTATTTGAAATTTATAACAATTTATAACAAATAATTTATTAATATTTTACTTACTTTACTAATTAGCTTGTAATCTATGCAAAATTTATATTAAAAAAAAATTATACATTTTATATTTTATATTTTAAATAATGTATATACATTTTACATGTTTTATAATAGCAATAAATATGTAAATCTATTAAAAAATTTTTGAGGATAATCCAGGTGTCGTCGAACAAGCTGTACGAGATGCTGTTGATGCTGGATACCGACATTTTGATTGTGCTTACATTTATAGAAATGAAAAAGAAGTAGGCAAAGCTCTACGTGATAAAATTGCGGAAGGTGTAGTAAAGAGAGAAGATCTATTTATCACAACAAAGGTAATTATAAAAAATAAATTGTGGTTTATAAATTTGATCATTAATATTTTTATATTTTCAGTTATGGAATACAACACATAGAAAAGAACAAGTAGTACCAGCATGTAAGACATCGCTTAAAAATTTTGGATTCGATTATGTTGATCTTTATCTTATCCATTGGCCCATGTCTTATAATGAAGTAAAGGTAAAAATGCACGAATTTATTTATATATATAATATTTATAATATTATTATTATTAATTAAAACATTCATGATCTCAGGAAAAAGATGGTTTTTGGCCCAAAACTAAAGATCCTCTGTATGAGAATGTGGATTATTGTGACACATGGCAAGGAATGGAAGAATGTGTAAAATTGGGATTAACGAAAAGCATAGGCCTTAGTAATTTTAATTCCCAACAGATCGATCGTATTTTATCAAGTGCCCAAATCAAACCTGTCATGAATCAAATAGAATGCCATCCAAATTTAAATCAAAAAAAGCTTCGAGATTTTTGCAAACAACGTGATATAGTTATTACGGCTTACAGTCCACTTGGTTCCCCTAAACGTAGTTGGGCGAAACCTACTGATCCACAAGTAGCAATCGAAGCATCAGAAATTCTCGAGATTAGCAAAAAATATGAAAAAACGCCAGCACAAGTTGTTTTACGATATTTGGTAAATATATTATAGTTCTTAGAAATATAGCAATTATAAAATAAACGATTCAATTGAAATATTTAATTTAAATGATTATTATTATTCAATATAGATCGATATTGGTACTGTTCCTATTCCGAAATCTAGTTCAAAAGAGCGTATTAAACAAAATATCGACATTTTTGATTTCAAACTATTGCCACAAGAAATTGCAACTATTGATAAACTTGACTGTGGACTTCGTATTTGTCCTGCTAAAGAGTAAATAACAAATAAGATATATATTTCTTTTTTTTTATTTTTGTATCATAATTATATTGTATAATATTTTCTTTTTTTTTTTAGATGTGCAGATCACAAGGATTATCCGTTTAATATAGAATTTTAAAAAATTTATCAAAAACAATTTTCTTTTTTTTGCATTTTTCGAACTATACAAATATTATTCATGTGTACTATTACTAATATATAATGTTATCCACATTTGTAATTGTCTTTAATTTTAATAAAATATTTTAAACATACTGATTAAAAAATGACAAACGCCTTTCATAACATTTCTTTGAATATTGAAAAGCAATGACTTGCATTATTTTATCTTGTTATGTTATTATTATATTTGTGATTTTCGAATTTTTTAAATTTATAAAATAGTCTAGTAATCTTTTTTCTTATCGAAGACAAAAATAAACAGCGATATTGATAATGTTTAAATATCGCAATAATATTGTGTAATATCATCAATACCACATTTCTAATCTTAGTTTAATGTTTGCATCGTTATAGTTATATAATATTTATCTATCCGAAAAGAGTATGAATAGGAGGTAATAAAATACAGTTTTGCCAGTTACTTACATTTTGTGTGATTCGAACATTGTATAATAGTGAAAACCTTTGATGCATATTTGCTAATGTTTTTTTTTTAATTATTTACTTAAAATTTATAATTAATGATGGCTCAAATACCCATTCTTACATTTTCTAATGGATACAAGATGCCTGCATTTGGTCTTGGTACTTATCAGGTAAGATTTCATTTATATATTAAATAATTTATATATAAGCAAAATTTTTGTTAATAATAATTTTAATAAAAATAAAAAGGTTATATTAAAATCTAGTAAATTTCTTTTAATGTATCACATGATCTCATCGCGCGTTTTATTCGAATTTAAAAATCAAATTAAATTAAATATGATAAACTTCTTAATTTTTTCAGTCACGTCCTGGAGAAGTAGAAAATGCTGTAAAAGAAGCAATAAACTTAGGATATCGTCATATAGATACAGCATATTTTTATCAAAATGAGAAAGAAATCGGTGAAGCGATTCAAACGAAAATTAAAGATGGAACTGTGAAAAGAGAAGATCTTTTCATTACAACTAAAGTAATTAATTTTTATATTTAAAAATAAATATATTTGTGATTTATATAACTTTTTTTTTTTTTAGCTTTGGAATAATTTTCACAAACAAGAAAGTGTAGTCCCAATATGTAAAAAATCGTTAGAAAATCTTGGATTAAGTTACGTAGATCTCTATTTAGTCCATTGGCCATTTGCCTTCAAGGTACGTTCCAGTTTAATATACTGTAATTATCTATTATTGCTCAATATTTTTAAAAAAATGTTAATTATTTCCCAGGAAGGTGATGATTTGTTACCCAGAGATGAAAATGGTACTCTTTTATTATCAGATACTGATTATCTTGAAACTTGGAAAGGAATGGAAGAATGCGTGCAATTAGGATTGACTCGTAGTATCGGAATTAGTAATTTCAATCAAGAACAAATCACTCGCTTGCTTAGTGCAGCCAAAATTTTACCTGTAAATAATCAGGTAATTATATATTATATTATTTATTGATTCGATTAATTTCTGAAGATCATAATAGATATAAATTGTATAGGTTGAAGTCAGCATAAATATTAATCAAACGCCATTAATAGAATTTTGTAAAAAGCATAATATTACAATAACTGGTTATTCACCATTGGGACAACCTGGAAATAGGTCAGGTTTACCAACTTCCTTAGATCATCCAAAAGTAATAGAACTTTCGAAAAAATATAACAAAACATCAGCACAAATTGTTTTAAGATATATTGTAAGTATAATTTATTTTCTTAATCTTCTTTTTATATTAAAATACCATATACAAATAGGTATGATAATTATCATAGTTTAAAACGTATATTTAAAAAATGAATATATGTAGAAATATATTCTAATTTATTTTTTAAATATGGATAAAATATGGATTAAATATGGATTTTTAAATTTAAATAATAAAAATATTATTTTAAAATTTTTATATCAAAAAAAGCTAAAATTTAAACAATTTGGAAATATTTACAATCATATTTTTATATATTTAAATATTCAAATATTAAAAATTAGACAAATAAAATAAGGATTAACTTAGATAAAAGATGAATCCACATGTATTTAATCTAAATATATAATTGAAAAATATGAAGTAATGGATATACTAGAAATTATATGATTGAAAATATAATATTTAATTCTTTATGCATAACATTAAATTTTTTATTATATTTGAATTCAATGCAGAATATCAATTTATATTCTTTTATATTTCTTTTTTAATACATATCGATACATCTTTTAACGATGATACTTATTATTGAAATATATATAACTGATCAAAGATAATATGACATAATGAAGGTAATTTGATCAGCAAACTTTGATAAAAATTGAATCAATATTCAATTATATCTTCAAAAGAAGTATAATTGCGTAATTATAACAATTATTAAAAATCATTTTATTTCCTAATAAGAGATTTAATAAATTTTTTATTTAAACTTATTAACTTATTATTAAAATTTATAGAAAGATTTATATTTCATATATATGAATATAACATATTATTTTTTTTATCAAAATATTCCAGTTACAACAAGGAATCGCTATTATTCCGAAATCTGTAACACCGAGTCGATTAAAAGAAAATATCAATATATTTGATTTTTCTTTGACGAGTGAGGAAATGGCATCTATAGCTACAATTGCAACTGGTCAACGTGTTGCACGATTTGCAGAGTAAGTATCTGTTACTATTAAAAATCCTTAAAATAAATTAATTTTTGAACAATAAGACAATGATATTATTTTTGTTCTTTCTGCAGTGCGAAGCAGCACAAGTATTATCCATTTGAGAAATAAAAATTTCATTGCAACTAAGTAAAATGACAGGAAACAGCTCGTCAAATTCAGTAGGTATATATTAATAGTAAGGTATATCCCCTTTGAACTTATATAATCCCACGCTGTAATTCGGCACTTGTTTGACCCTTATGTAGTCAATTAGATTTATTGAATGCCATGGAAAATTTTGATGCTCCATATAATATGAGATCATGCAACGTAACAAAGCGGACACCATCATGGACAAGGTTAATTGCATTCAACTAATGTTAACATTGATTACTAGATGTATACATTGCGAATAAATAAAATTATATTAAAAACAAAAAAATTTATTAAAAGCAATTTATGAAGCATTTTTTTTTTATTTAAGAAAATGCAAATAAAATAATTTTCAACATTTTATGTTATAATTTTATTATAATTAATAACGTATTATAATTAATTACGATAAAAACTTGAAATATTGGCAAAAACTATTTTTAAGAACGCAGACATAAATTACATCGGCGGAATTGTTACGTGATAGCGGAAATGCAATTAACGAAATAAAACGAAGCGGATTTAATTTTTATTCTTTCATTATTACAATTATTCTTCGAATTTCTTAAATGAAAAAAATTTACACAATGTAAATATAAAATATATAAACAAAATGTTTTTGTATTGTTTTAGAAAAATTCGAATCATAGTACAATAAAATCCTATCTAGAAAGGAGACTATGATTTTATATTACTTTACACGTTAAAAATTCTGAACAAGATTTCTTCAAGGCCAATGAATGCCAAAGGCTCTTGCAAACGAGAACCCTTTTTTAGGATGATTCATTCAACAAGCAAAATTGCTTGTTCGTTGTCCATAATATACGAGTGGAATTTTTTGCCATACGGAATATGATAGCATTTAACATTTTTGATGGTATTTTTCACTTTCTATTTTCCTTTCTTCCATCATTAAAAGTACAAATGAATTTATTCGAAAACGATAATTCGAAACAGCATGTAAGTTTCTGAAATTTATACGTAAAATTTATACGTTAAATATAATAAATGAAATATACGTGTTCTAAACTTGAATTTCCCACCTATTGTGCAATGTTTAGTAAATTAAAGTATGACCTTCGAGAAATAACAATATAATAAAACTGATACCTTCGAGAAATTACTCGTTATCAATCTGTTAATAGTCACGTATTCATGATATTGTTATTTCGGTACATATATGGTCGAAGAAATTACATCATGAATCATATCACACAAGCGTAAGTTTCTAAGCAAACCACCGTATGCATTGAATTACGTGTTTGATATCTTTTTTTTTTTACAATATCATTCTTTATCGGTAAAACAAACACTTTAAACACTGAACGAAACCATTAAATGATATTACAGGTGGAATACAAAATTTTCTAACAAAACTAAATCACCGACGCATAAAAAATTATTATCGTTAGAGAATATTCGATCGCCAATAATTTATTGTGGCTCCTGGAGATCTAGAATGCTCGATAAAGTGAAAGAATGCCGTGATGCTATTAAGAATATGATGACCTTCGACAAGCTGACAAATACCTATGAAACTACACACATAGTCGGTAAAACTCCGATAATTCCGAGAGCAGCTACTTCTATGTCCTCGATACCGGATGTTATTACATTTAGTGGCATTGCATTGAAACATAAAGAATACGAAGACATACCGATTCTAATGAGAGATTCCATACTGAATTCGAATAAAAAAGAGAAAGAAAACACTATTGTGGAACAAATTGATCAAACTAACAATACAAACAATTCGTTGAAACGTTTCGTTTCAGTAGATAATATGCTCAGCAATTCGTTGAAATCATTCATAATATTGGAAAAACAGATAAAAGAAGAATTTTTGCAAGAGGACGATGTTTTCACGACGAAAAAAAAAATTTCTGCAGAACCATTTCTTTCTTATGTGGAAGGAAATGCAGAATTCATTTGGCCAGATGATACAATTGAGAGTTCTTCCGGAAATGCTTGGAACTCCCTGGAACATTTAAATTCGTCCGATATCAGATTTGGAAATCCACGTACAAATTCCACTTTTTATGAAGATATTTATGTGAATAGAAATCGTACATCTTCCCCAATTCGAAATCATCATTTTCAGGATTCTGGTTTTGAAAATAATTTCTCGATATAAATCAGTTCTATTTTCAATTTTTTCTCTCCATTCCTGTTTTTATTCTTTTTTATACTTCTTATTTATAACTTTTTGTAACTCTTCATATTTGAATCAATAAAATTTGTTCTAACGAATACAATTTATTATGTATTCCTTCGATAAATTCGAACCGAATCCATTTCTAAGATTCTATTGACTAAATGTAAACAAAAATATTATCAGTAATATAACTGTACTGGTGACACTGTGAAAATCGTATAAAATCAATGATAGTTTTATAAAATTATCGTTTAAATAATTTTTGAATATGAAATATGAATTAATCGTGCAATTAATCGTGTAATATAAAAGAAAATAACACTTGCGATATCAATTTAAACAAATGGAAAGGCGATTTAAAAACAAAAACGAGACAATAATATCGAAATCCTCGAAGTTATCGATCTAATGAACAGCCATTATGCTGGAATATATGAACCAGTCCAACGATTCATTTTTATCCTACGATAAGCTTAAAACAATATCAATTTTTTTAAAAAAGGGAAGAACCACTCAGAGTAGAGTAATGGATTTTATTCTAACGATACTTGGCTGTATAATCCTGAAAATTGATAATCAAATCTACTTATATGAATTTAAGGATATTTTCAATGATAGAACCTTAAAAAATATAAAGAATGATCTGGAAAACCTTTTGTATTTTAAAACTAAATTCTTTAACTTTTTAATCATGGAGTTATTATTAGAGACTATCAAGAAAGAAAATAATTATTTTAATAAACGTATCAAATTCAATAGAATCATGGACACATCAAATAAACAATGTAACAAAGAAGTTTTTCAAAAAAAAGTCAAGGATGTTATAAAATTTTTAATTTTTCGAAAGATCGAGAAATTTTCTTATCTTCATAATAATAATAGTACATTGGATTGGTCTTACTACAAACAGAAAATTGATGTTATACTTAGCAACGAAATTCGTCCAAGAGATAATATAATAAATAAAAATAATGTTAAGGAAAATAATGAAGAAAATACAATAAATTTTATTTATCATAAAAGAAAAAATGAATCTATGAATAATATAAACAATTCAAAAAAACCAGATTCAAAAATAGAATCTAATTTCTACAAAACATCAAGTTATACTTGCTTCGATTATTTTTGCGGTAAAATTTATTGGTTGCTCTGCTATGCATGGTTAGGAATTTTTATATATTATTGTTGCATATTTTTTTTTCCAATTTTCCCAACATTGTTAAATATTATACATAAATTGATAAATAATAATTCATAATATGATAATTGTACATAAATTAGGTATAAATTTGTATTATTTCGTTCAAATTGTTGTTAAACATGTGTTGATATTATTTTCTTCACAAACATAATATAGGAATTTTATACATATATATATATAGTATAGGAATTAAAATTATTTTGCTAATTCAGTTAATAGCTTATCAATTAAAAAATTGATAAATTTATTTAATTTTATCAATTACTTAAAAATATCACATACTATGTCAATTTATTAAAACAAAGCAAATAATATATAATGTATACATCTAAGCTTGATTTTAATATCTTCTAGTTTAGGTTATTTTTCATCAAGTAATATAGAATAACTATGTTCCAATATAGTGTGATATTTTAATGTAAAAAATATTTCTATAATTAAAAACTTTTAATGATAATGAATATAAAAATTCAACTTTATTATCTTTAAAATATTTAAATAGTCATTGTTCTTTCATATGCTTTCATAATAAATTTATTCATATATTTTATAAGCTCTTATTATCGTGAAATAAAATATCAATAATTTTTTGATACCTCATTTGAATCATTTCATTTGAATCATAAAAAAAAATATATAAAAAAATTTAATCGATTTAATCATTTATTTAAATTAGATTATAAATACTTACTTGAATGTACATATACCGAAATTAAAATAAAAATATAAATTACTATATAAATTAATTTGTATAACATATTATTATTTTTTATTTATTGTTTAAATAATTTATTTTTATATATTAAAATTATTATATATTAAAATTTTAAAAATATTTCATTATTAATCTTGAATGAGTAATTAAATAGATTTGATTTAAAGGCTATTTATATATTGTCAAATGCAATGTTTTTGACATAATATTTGATATTCGAAATTTCAATATAACATAGAATATGATTATAAAGTAAATATTTCAAAATAATCCATTTCTGTTAAAATATATTATTCTCAGTAATTGATTCATTTATTCTTAACGATCAAGGGATTGAACTGTCCTTTGTTACTTCTAACGGATTCTGTAATTTTCCATAGGGCCCGTTTCTTGTTAACGAATTTGCCGACTTGTCGAGCTACGTCGAAATACATACACATCGATAAATCTCTCTATATAATATATAAAGTTATTATGCAACACATATACAAAGATCGCAAAACGCATGCGTAGAAAAGCTGCGCAAAACAGGGCAGTATACTTTTAGAGGGTTAAAAGTGCCATGTTTTTTTTTCAATTTTTCCAATATTTATATATAAAATTTATTTTTCGTATTAATTTTTTTAAAAATATGTTAGACGTAAAATATTGATATCTAAAAAATAAAAAATAAATTTAAATATATAAATTATAAATACCAAAACATAAAAATATTAAAATCATAAATACGAATATAATTTATAGAAAATATATAAAAATATTTGATTATCAATTAATTATAATAAATTTTTAAATTTAATATATTAACATTATGAAAAAAGAAATTTTAAAAAGAAAATCTCTGTTAAATGGATTAAGCAATATTTAAATTACAAGATATAAAATTGAAAAAATATATTTTATTTTAATAAAAATATATAAATGATTTTAATTTTATTTTTATTTTTGAAATATATAAAAAAAATAAATAGAGAATAACATAAACGAAACGATAAATCATACTTCATTTTTTGATATACGGGTATGTTCTTAGAGGAGGAGTCGGGGTAACGTAGGATATTTATAAAGGAAGCTGAGAAAATCTACCGGCATTATATTACGATTGCTATTACGACTGATTATAATAAAAGTATTCAAAATTTTGTTTCAAATAATAAGATATATAACAACTAAAATGGTTGCAAATAGTGCACCAATGTTAAAATTTTATAACGGTAACGAAATACCGGTATTCGGACTTGGTACATGGAAGGTCAGTAACATTTATAATATAATAATTTATAATATATAGTATAATAATAATAATTTATAATCTATTTTTACAAAATATATATATATATAAAACTGTGTTTAATGTATATTATAAATAATATACATTATTATTAATATAAATTTATACAATTTTTGTTGTGAGTTTTATTAATAAATTTCTCTAATTTTATTCGTATTCTCTAATAATTTATTCATTCTCTCTTCCTATATATCGATTAAAATTTGTAATATGTCATTTAAGATACAAGATCAAGATATTCTACAATGTTCTCGAAGTTACGAAATAAATCTGTCTTTATTTAAAATGTAGTATATTATAAATGTTTTTATAATATAACAAATTGTTATATTATAATTTAAAAAATTATGAATTTTTTACATTTTAATTTATATTTCACTTAAATAAAATTTTATTTTCATTGCTAGAATGAATTTTGTATGTACATACGTATATACATACGTATATACGTACTACATAAGTACGTAACATTGGTTATTTTGAATTAATAGGAATATATATAATTAAATAGAGATAAGAAACTTATCAAAATTAGATAACTTGATTCAGAAATAATTTTTATTACATAATATATTTTTTATTTTTATAATATAATATATTATGAAATTGTTACAATTCATTTTTCTCAATTAATTAATTACTTATATATCTTTTAGTCCAAACCTGGAGAAGTGACTCAATCAGTTAAAGATGCAATTGATATTGGATATAGACATATAGATTGTGCTCATGTATATGGCAATGAGAAAGAAGTGGGTATTGCTATTAAAGAAAAAATTGCTCAAAATGTTGTAAAAAGACAAGATCTTTTCATCACAAGCAAATTATGGAATACTTTCCATAGACCAGATTTGGTTGAACCTGCTATCAAAACATCTTTGTCAGATTTAGGTCTTGACTATTTAGATCTTTATCTAATTCATTGGCCAGTAGCATTCAAGGAAGGAGATAATCTTTTTCCACAAAATCCTGATGGTTCTACTACTTTTAGCGATGCAGATTATGTAGATACATGGAAAGCTATGGAATCTTTAGTAACTAAAGGACTTACTAAAAATATTGGTATTAGTAATTTCAATTCTGAACAAGTAGAAAGAATTCTTAAAAGCTGCACTATCAAGCCAGTTACAAATCAAGTAAGTATATATTTTATTTAAATCAGAATAATATATAAAAAATATATTTTTTATAATGTATTAATGTATTAATGTATATTTATAGATTGAATGTCACCCATATCTTACTCAAAAGAAGCTTTCTAAATTTTGTAAAGATAGAGATATTCTTATTACTGCATATAGTCCCCTTGGATCACCTGATAGACCATGGGCTAAACCAGATGACCCAAAATTATTAGATGATAAAAAATTGAGTGAAGTTGCAAAGAAATATGATAAAACACCTGCTCAAATTCTTATAAGATATCAGGTACATATATTAATATTCTATTCATAAATTATTTTTTTAATTTAATTTCTAATTTTATTTTCTTTTTCAGTTGGATCGTGGTCATATAGTTATTCCTAAATCAGTTACAAGATCAAGAATTGCTGAAAATGTTGAAGTTTTTGATTTTAAACTTTCCCCTGAAGATATTGAATATATTGATAGTTTTGACTGTAATGGTAGAATTTGTCCACTAATAGGGTAAATATTTTAATATTTTTATTTATAATAATTTTTATAAAATTAACATAAACATTAATTTTTTTCAGTTCGGAGGCTAGCCCTCATTATCCATTCCACATTCCATTCTAAGTAATAAGTTATATAATTCTAAGTAATAATATATATCTAACATTTACAATATCTTTTTTCTGTAAGTTTTCTACATGAAAATCATATAAAATAAACTATATTCTAATAATAACTTCAATTTCATTTTTATATCAAATTATTATTTAATTTATATAATAATTATATTATATAATTTATATAATAATAGAATTGAAATAAAATTATTTATAATATATTCATCTCATATTCTTTCTTTCATTCTTAATAAAAATATTTTTCCAGTTACAAATCCTCATATTATATAAAAAAATATAAATGTTAATTTGTATATAATAAATATTGTAATCTAAATATTATGTATACTGATAACCTCATTTTAATAATCTATTGATAAAGGAATATTTATCGGTTAATTAACGGTTATTAGCGGAAATAATTGTTCATGTTACATGGAATACAAACATGGAATTATCGCCGTTATGGCATATTTTTATATAGTATAATAAGGTATTATGGTATATAAGTATAATACAAAAAATATATGTTACATTACTTTTTTTATGATAGAAAATTTTTTTTTATAAGCCAATTGCTTCTTCTTTTATTTTCTTATGAATTTAGATTTAAAAAAATTTATTTTATCTATATTTACGTATTAGACTAATGCATTTTAAAAAATTATGTTTTTCGCTATATCTATTTATTATCTTGACATTTATTATTTATTTATGAAATTCAACTTTGACTTCTGATCTATGCTGAATATATCTAAATGTTAAAATGATACACAATATTAAAAATATTTTAACTGATATAACATACACAATGTACATATATATAATATGTAATATATAATATTGTATACAAATGTATTATTTTTTTTACTTTATTTGTATTATTTTGTTCTAATTAACTAATAAGATTAAAGACAGAAATTCAAGATATTAGATGGTATATTGTATTACATTATTACAATATGGTATATAGTAAGTATATAAGTATAATACAAATTAGGGAAAATTACCGTTATAAAAAATGAAGAACGAATGAATTACATTTACATTTTATTGCATTCGCACAAATGTTCATCACTATCTTCGCAACCGCATAAGCAACATTCGCAATATTCACTATCTTCACTATCTTCTACTTTTGGTAAATCAGCTAGTTGCTTTATAGTTGGTTGATATTCTTCCGAAGGATCTAATGGTTCATCACTGCAATTACATAGTGTATCTGACAATCCACTTGCGCATTTGCCCTTACAATTGCATCTGCAATTTCCGATTGGACGTATATTGCAAGGCAACAAAGGACAAATTTCACAGGGACCTTTGAGATCATAAGATAACATATGTGGTTTGCACCCTGTACGAATACCTATAATTATTTTTCATATTAAATTGTTTTCATAATTAAAAAATTAATTAATATAATTTAGTTTATATACCATGTTCTTCCATTTTATAACGTGGTTGTTCGCAGAAAGGCTTTCTTAAAGATGTAATGCAGGAAATATTGCAAGGAGGAATGAGTTTTTTTAAAATATATTCAAAATCCTGAGAGGTGAAACAAGGACGATGACATTGTGCCGATTTTGATTTAAATGTTGATGATTTATCATCTTTTGATTTCTCAGAAGTAGGATTTTCCATTTTCTATCGGAAAAAAGATGGATCGTAAAATAAATATCAGTAAATAATTTTATGATATTTATATTATAATGAATAAATTCTTATATATCATTTTTAACATTTAATGTCGTAGGATTTGCACTTTTCATCTGTAATATCTGTTTCGTTTCCGATTTCTGATTGCCTGCCCACCAATTTGACATCCAGGAAGATCTTTCTTTAACTTTTTTTTCGGATAATTTTGGATTAGTTTCTTGATCCTGTTTAATATTTTGTCCCAATGTAGAAATCAATATGTCATTATGTCTCTGTATAACATATATTTATTCATGTATAAACATGAATAAATAAATTTATTATGAAATTATTATTATTATTATTATTATTATTATTATTATTATTATTATTAGATGAAATTTCTTTAAATTGAATATATATTAATATATTAAAAATATATAATATATATAATCGAAAAATTTAAAAAAAAAATATAAATCTATATTTTTTGCTTATTATTGCATTATTCAATAGTTTTAAGAGAAATATCCAAATATTCATTAATGTACTTAAAAAATTTTTAAATTTATTATTCGAAAACGAAGCTTCAAATAAAAAAAATTTTATTCTATATTTTCGATAATTATATTTTCGACATTTATCTCATATAGAATCCTTTTTCCGATTATACTACAGAATAATTTTTACTAACAATTTGTTTCTGTCCTTGCTTTTTATTCGATTCGTAATCATTTTGATTAGAACATCCATATTTTTTACGCATGTAAGATGTTTTCTTATCATTGTTGTTTAAATCTTGAGTACAACTTATAATTTTTCTTCGATCACAAATATTTTGATATTCCTTAGATGTCAACAATCGATCCATATGTTCTTTAAATATCGTTTCCTTCTGTTCTAATTCTTTAATGCAATTCTTCAAATTTAATTCTTCTTTAGCTAATTGACGAATCTTTGATAAACAGAGTAAGTCTTCGGAATGTATCGAATGAAGACTTGGAGTAGTATAAGATCGTATTTCCTTTTCTAATTTATTCACCGTATCGTTCAATTCTTTATTCATAAGTTCCAAAGATTCTAATTCCATTTCCGTTTCTTCCAACTTAACATCAGCTTGAATGATTTTTTCCTAAAATTAAAATATCGATAATTTTTATATACATTATATAAATTTTATATAAATTAATAATATTTTATAAAATTTTAATTATAAAAAGTACAATAAAAAATAGATGTATTTAATAATACGTCAAATTTTATAACGAACACAAAGATTCAAACACACACACTAAGATTTACCCGCTGAATTAATCGCTGAATTTCAATCGTTCCGTACATGCAACTCATCGGTCTCCTTGTTCAGATTCTTCACAGTATTCTTTAGATTTTCAAGAAGTTTCTCAGTTTGATCCGGATAAGGAGCGAATTTCTTCATGATCTCGCGGATTTTACAATACGGCGCATTTTCACATTTTTTTGACATCCACATATTATATGCCATCAATGCCGGAATTGATCGTTCCATTGTCGTGATTTTATCTTTTAAATATTTATGCCGACCAAGAAGATCGCAACGACGTTCTTCCATTTTCGTCGTGATATCCTCGAAATACGGCGAGTGATGCTCGGTCGTTTTCGTATCTGATTTTGGACCTTCAATAAAGAAAAGAAAAATTAAATAATTATGTTTTATTAAAAATATATTTCATTTATAATAAAAAAAAATAAATATCTTATGTCACTTACATTTACATCGAGACATTTTTGCTTGTTAAAGTTCTTTTCCAAAATAAAGAATTTATCACTTTGAATTATATTATATATAAATAGGTATACTTTAAGTCTAAACAGGTTATTATGATTTCCTGCATAGAATTTTAAATGTTTCAATATATCATTCTAATCTTTAAAATTATAAATTATAACAAAATTATATATGTATCTGACTAAATTATCTTTGAAATTTTGATATTAAATGTGAATGTTAATTTTTTTTTTTTTTTATGTATTTTCTGTTGACGGTTTCAAGTAGAATAATATATGTGTATATATATATATATATATATATATAAATATGTATATATATATATTTATTTTAAGTTAATATTCTCAACAAAGATACATTAATTGAAATTAGCAATGGTACTGTTCTTAAAAAAAACTATCGAATAAGATCGTATGTTTTTTCAGATATTTTCGATCATTTTTGATAGTTTTACGCGCAACGAAAATCAGCATGCATTAGTATAACGTTTCTGCGAATTGTTCAAGATGTATTAGATTTCTTCAATTCAGTGAAGAAAATATAAAACATATCGAATTCTTTGAAATCTGGAGCAAATCGAAGTGGATAATGTTACCTCTCGATATAGTCACGAGTTAGTAAAATTATAAAATTAAATTCAAAATAATATACATATTATATATTATATATAGTAAACTTGACAACGCTATTATTCAAATGAATTTTTAACAGAAGAACGGAGGACTTGACTAGTCGTGACACGGATGATGATAAATATTCTTTGCTAACCGGAACTAGTACATCTCTTCAAGATAGCACCGGAAGTACAGTCACAGGCTCAATTAGAGCCAACTACGAACGTAATTTTGAAGATCGTGTATTATACGGACAGAGCGGTGGTCGCAGATTTAGTTATAAAAAAAGAAAGACTTGCAGCGGAAATGGAATATTTAGTGCTCCTCCCGGTGTCAGTCCCCATCATGTTAAATCATCCATTATCCGTCGCAATACAAGTAGAGCTTCTGAATTCCATATATATTCTATCATATATATCTTATATATATTTTTTTAAATAGTTATATGTTAAAATTAAGAATCATTTTTATTTTTTTCCATAATAGATGGATCTCGATTAATTTTTGTATGGCCACAGAAACCACCTAGAAGTAGATTGTTAAGAATTTTAGCTCCACTCATGCATGGCATTCTCATTGGTTTTTTATTTATGGATGCTATTCATCTTTGGCCAGGAGAATTTTTACCTACATCGTTGCCTTCTATAATACCTGTTCCTTTACCACCTGTAAAATGTAATGTAATTGAACCACGATGGTTTGACAATAGTTAGATAATGCAATATTTTCATTTTTTTGACTTTGAAGTCGCGTAATTTAAATTCTCTTTTCATTATTTAAAATATATAAAATAAATTATAAGAAAAATTAAAATGTAAAAGAAATATATTAAAACACAAAATTATAAAAAAAATTGTTTTTAATAATATATAAATATTAATGATTAAATAACCTATAAATGTTAACAATTTTTCCGTGCAAAAATATGCTTATGCGCATCATTATAATATAGTTAATACTTGGGAAAGAGTGAATACGTAAGATATTCAGCAGTGAACAAAAATGTCGAATAAACATCTATTTCAAAAATATGGATTTTTGCGTGCACCTTTTGCCATTGGTGTTGGTCGTTATGTGTGTCAATTACAAAGAGTAACTATAAAATTTTGTAAAAATCACGGTGCTAGTCTTGGAGCTAGGTAAAATATTTCCTTATTTAACCTTATTTTCACTATTAAATTTTTATATTATATATATATATAATGATATAACAATAAAAAAAAGTTATGAATTTTAAAAAAAAAAATTAAAGTTATTTTTTAATATTAATATATTTGACTTATTTTTTATTTGTTTAATTATTTATTTCTCTCGACGTACGTAACATTTTACAAATTATAACCTCTTTTTATAAATTATAAATATCTTATATCATATATATATATATATATATATACATAAAAAAAAAGTTTTTTTTTTATTATACAGGAATTTTATAGAATATGATTTAATTAATTATGCAAAAGAAAATCCTGGAGTTGTAGTATATGTTAAACCAAGAAGACATAAATATCCAATTTTAAAAGCGGAATATTGTAAGTTTATTATTGTTTTAAAGAAGTAAGATTTAAATATATTAATTAAAAATTTAAAAATAAATTATAAATTAAATAAATATTTAACATAGATCTATGTTATTTTATAGTAAATGGAGAGACACATTGGATGTCTATTGCTAATTATAGTAGAGAGGACATTATACAATGGATGGAATTATTAAAAACTCAGTATCATAATGGTCCAGATTACAGATTACTTAAATTATGGCACACAGATTTTCCTTCTATTCAAGGACCTTGGACACCTTTTACTTTTAAAGAATCATCTTTGAATCAAATTCAATTCCCAAATGTAAATATTGAATTTTTTGTTATATAATGTCTTTTCTATTACATTTTTATAACTATATATATTATATATTTCATTTATTCTTAGAAAAAATTTGGAGAATGTATTAAATTGGAACCAACAGCTACAGAGGAATTGATTAGATTGTTTAAAGAACAACAAGAAGCTGAAAAACTCAATGAAGAAAATAAGATTCAAGAAAATGTTAATTAAATGATAATTTTCAATGTTAAATAATTAACTAAAAATTAACATATTCTGAATCAAAGCTTATTATAGCTTTTTAAAATAATATTTGATTTGTTTATTTTTATGTGACAATACAAAAAATTATATTTATTTAATATTTCAATAAGAAGAAAACTTTTATATATATATATCCAATCATTAAAATTATATAATTATTATTAGATTATGATTATTGTAAAATAAATATATAAAAATATATAAATATAACTTATAAATTTACTTGATTATTTATTAGTGCATATAAATATTTTTCAGGCTTTATTGTAATATTATATTAATAGATACTATATTAATAATACTATTATATTATATAATACTATGTTAATAAAATTTTGCATAAAATTAATGTATTCAAATTATCAAATATAATGTATGCTCCAGACAATTACATAACAATCATATAAATATTTATTTGTGCTTTATTTTTTTAATGTAAGCATTTAGTGACTAGTATCTTATATATATCATATGTACAATATTTTTGATGTGTAATAAATCAATATTATATATAATATATAATATTATTAATACATATTAATAATTAATATTATTAATAATATTTATACTAATGTCAGAATTATATGACAGGTACATAAATTTTTTTTTGTTTTTATATATACTTTAATTACATAAAAATATGTTTTAGCATTTTTCGTATAAAAAAATTGAATAATTATATCATACATAGCACCAATATTTTGAAACAAAATTATGCCCAATATGAAATAATTCAACTATTTTGACCAACTATATTACACTTTAAATAAATTATATTATTATTATTATTATTATTATTATTATTATAATATTATTGAAATATTATTATAATATTCAATTTTCATATAACAACTTATAAATATAATTCATTTTTTGTGCGATTTTGTTAATGCGTGCGAACTTCATAGATAAAAAAAATAAAATATACATATTCTACATATATAATTATCAATTATTTTTAGTATTTGATATAAAAAATATCGATACAAAATATTAAAATGATATTAAGTATATCTAATTTTAATTAAAATCTTTAATCTAAATATTAAAACATGAATAAAATATCCATAATATTTCATAAACATGAAAAATTATAACGATTTTGTAAAAATATAATTAGAATATTCTTTTTCAAATTGCATACTAATTTATGCAAATGCATATCTTTTTTTAAATTATGATAATATTAATTATAAAAATAGAAAATAGAATTAAACGCGCTTAGACTACAATAAATGACATTTTAAATAATCTTTAAGGGATGGGTATAGTAGCATAATCCTGGTATGCTAACTTTTTTCTTTGAGAAATATGAATAAATAGTTTATTTCTTACACTACAATAAAAACTTTATCATTTTTATAGGAAAAAAAAATGCAACTTTTCCTGTGTAATATCAGATAGCCTTAAACATTCATAGTTATTTATCAAAATAATGGGATAATGAGATGATTCTAAATATATAACAATATAAATAGGATGAATTTGATGCTACATACAATCATACGCACAAAAAATCACACACCATTAATATATCATTCCTTATTAAACACTTCATTGTATATAATTGTATATAAATAAATTTATAATGCCTCATTATAGAATCTTGGTATTAAAAACTGACAAATGTTACCTACAGTATTTCAACTATTTAAATTCAATTATAAATACTAAGATGAATTTTGTACTCTAATAATTTTTTTGTAATAAAATAAAATATTGCGGTAGAAATCAATTAACATGACATAACATACCATATTCGTAAAATAAAACAAATTAAATCATGCATATCTTTCTCCTTTCGTACAGATAAATGTCCACAAAGAAGATAAAACAGCATATGAGGAAAAATATTCTCGTTTAAGCAAAATATCACACACTATATCAATTGTAAAAGTGTGACTAGACATGATTTAGTTTATTCGGCTTTAAGTCGTTTACTAAATTCTTCTTGTTGTTTTTCTCGCCATTCCTTTTTCGGTTTTGTTCGTTTAAGTTGACCATCCCTAAAAATAATATCATTGTATTAATTTTATTATGGAATTATATATAGAATTTGTTCTTATTTAAAGTAACTTACCATTGTAAATCTACTAAACCACCTTGTCTTGCTATCACAGACTTTACTCTATTTGCAAAGTCAATAGCGCTCTCTCCCTCATTTCTATACATCGGAGGAAGGTACCAAACATCACAAACTATAGCCCAACTCGACATAGTCATGTATAAATATTGAATCATAGAATATCGACTACTATTCCAGAACGCATCTCCAAATCTTGGATCATACTGTAAGAAAGATAATGAAATTAATTATTTAAATTGCTATCTAAATATATTTTTTATATGTAAGTATATTTTTTACATGTACACAATTACCTTTATCGCAACAGGATAGATTACACCACCAACCTCAAAACTTCCTTTTTTAAATTGCATAACTGATGTATTATTTATACAAGTGCCTTCAGGAAAAATAAGTATAGGTGGATTTGTAGGATCAGAAATATGTTTTTTTAATCTAAAATACATTTATAAAAATCTACATACATACAATATATTATAAATAAAATCTATACATTAAAAATAAAACAGAATTTACCGTTTTGTAACAGCTTCTCTATCTTTAACTTCACATCGTTCAAACCAAATATGCGGTGATGCACGTGCTAAAGCTCTTTGTAGAATTCCTAAAAATCCACCATGCCTTTGACCTATCTAAAATAATATTTATTATTGAATAATATAAATCGTTGTTACATCAAAATATATATACATCAAAATATATATTTATATAATGAAAATTTAAATAATGATAACAAAATAAATCAAAATTAAAACATGCAATTAAGAAGATATAAAATAATTGAAAATAATTATTAGTTTATTAATCAATATGATGAATGATAGAAACATACCAAAGAATAGCAATTATCGCACATCAGTACTAGAACATCTATGGGAGAAGTGTGATTTGCCACACAGATACCCCTAATAGGACGATTTTCTGGGTTATGATAAGTTATTACTGAAGATAGCGCGCTGGACAATACACCAAAGCACATTATGGAAACTTTATAATTTAACCATCGCTTGAAACTGCCTTCTGGGACATACCCCACAACAGCTGTACATGCTGTCAGCCACATTACCTGTAAACCATAAGCTTTGCATATAAGAAAGTATATTCTATTCTTTTTGTATTGATGGTGAGTAGTTTACCTACAAAGCAAAGTTACAGGAATCTGTTACCTGCAACATTCATGCATTTCAACTTTCAATAGACAATTACTAATCATATTATAGCAGGATTTCCCAGATTATTTCAAGAATATTATTATAATATGCTGAAATTTAATTACTAACAAATAACAAATAAATATGGTAACAAATTCTCAACAATAATACCCAATAAACAACAAATTTGGATATTTTTATAATGATATATTACCAAAGAGAATGTTGTTTGTGTGGATAAGATGGACACGTCGATTGTGGAAGTGTGATTTGCTACACACATTCCTCCAGATTTTGGTTTATATTCTGGATTATGAATTGTAATTGTAGCTGATATAGACTGTGATAATATTGTGAATGCTATGATACTAGCTTTGTTGTATATCCATTTCTTTATAAAACCATTTGGTAAGAAGCCAATAAGAAATGTTGTAATTACAATATACAGTACCTAAGAAGCTTTGATATTAGTTAAATTGGAAATGCTAAATTTATATTTGACATGGACATTTACTAAAGCAAATACTTTCAAAATAGATGCATTAATAGAGCAGAATTGTGAAATGAAAATAAGTTAAAAAATTGTAATATTAATTCTTACATAAATTTTTTTTTTCCTAAACTTAATAATTAATCATATATCCTACCAAGTTGTTTCAATTTCAATTTCAAATATTGTTAAATATAGAAAAATCAATGTACTTACTCCAACAAAACAAATGAATATTCTTAAGGGAAGAAGAAAGCAGTACCGCATAACAAATCCACACATCCATATTACTGTTAGCTTCCAGGAAATGAATTCGTAATGTCTATTTGTTCTAGTTAATAGATTCCAATTCTGACAAAAAATATCAATTTATCATATATTAAAATATCAATTCATATTTTTTAAAATCTAAAAATACCTTCAATTCTTCTGCCTCAAAACGAGATGTCACTTCATCTTCAATTATAGCCTCTACACCAGCTTTAATATAATCCAAACAGATTGCAGGTTTGAACTCTCTTTTTAGCGTTTCAAATGAATCTCTACGCATAAGACTCTATAAAAAATATTTTTTATTTTTAATCTACTTTATAAATAATTCTTTTTTATAAATAAAAGCAATAAAATAAAACTAAAATTATTTACAGTAGTTGTAGATGTTTGAGAACTTTCTGTTTTTGTTTCTTCCAGATGATTTTTATGATTCTGCATTTCCGGCTCAGGTACCAAAATCAAATCTGTCGATCTGGCTATTACATTGCTACTTAACATCCCATTTTGCATATCGTTTTCCGTTTTCCAATTCTGTACATTCTGTTTTTCAACATGCCGCGATTCGTTTTCTTCATCGGCATCCTGGTCATTTTCTGTCCAAGTACCGTTTTTCTTTTTTACGTTCTCTATATTTTGTCTGCCATACTGAAATAAAAATGTATATATATATTATAATCATCTCACTCAAGTTCGAATATTTCTAAAAAATATGTGATTATATATATTTCTTGCTGAAAAGAAATTTGTCAAACATAACAAGAACAATAGATTTATTCACTAGATAAATATAATTCATAAGAAATGAATATCATCATAAAATACAAGTACCTATAGAATAAAATATGAAAAGGATATTCTTAGCAATAAAAAATTATTTTATTATTTATCGTAGATAAAAATAAAGCTGGATAATATTTTTTTAAGTTTTTAGTGGATTTAAATTTATCAAATCACAAGATGTGATTATGTCTACTTTCGCGAAATATTTTCATAAATATTATTTATATTTAAAAAGAATCTATACTTTAAAATTTACAATTGCATTTATTATGTATCGTCCAATTTATTTAAATATTCATAGAATAATTATTTTCATTTATTTAATATTTTTAATTTACATTTGATACATTTAAAATATAAAATATATTACATTTTTAAATAAACATGTAATATATTTTGTAATAATACAAAATTGAATAATTTTTTTGTTTATTTCTATTTTTTCAATTTTAAATAATAAAAAAAAGAAACTAATTCTATTTCAATTATGATAAATATAAAATTGAATTTTAAAAAATTACACTTAAAATGATAAACAAAAAATGGTAAATAAATGTAAAATGTAAAATAAAAAATTATCATTATAATTACTAATTTAAAAACAAAAAAAAAATTAATTTCGCATAAAAAAAATAATACAATATCAATTTATATGAGAAACATAAATTCATTATAAATTATATTTTTGTACAAATAAACTTTATTAAAAAATTATCAGATTTTATCGTAAAAATAAGTATATCTTATTTTATGTTTTATCTTTAAGAAGAAATAAATTTTATCATTATTTTTTATTTTTTTATCGAATAAACACAAATTTTCTATATTATATTATATGTATATATCTGATACATATCATAATATATTTTATAAAGAATTATTTCTTTTTTTTTCTATAAAAAAAATTATGTATATATACACGAATATATTATATATCGCTAAAATTTTCCCATCAAGTTAAACTGCTAATATTTTTGATAAAGAAATCATTATTATTTCATTATTCATTCCTGAAAACAAATTTTATCTTTAAATTTAATTCTGGGAATGCAGATTTTGAAAAAGAATAAATCTTAATGATACGCATTTGTTTTATATAATGATAATTATTGATTCTTAAAAATTGATCAATCATAATAATTATGGAATTTCAACGTTCAAATTTAAATGAAATATAATGAAAACTCAAATTGATAAATTATCTATTATATTTGATGATGAAAAAATTTTTGGACTTTGCTCTTGACAACGATTTCTAGTTGCTATAGAAACATTGAACGATTTATATATCTTTCTTTCCTCGATTACAGATATTTTAAAATTAAAATTACAATATATTATTATCAATCTTTTTTATATATTCAAAATGATATGTATGAAAAAATATGTATGATATTATAAATGAATCTATAAGTGAATTCAATGTTGCAAATCATGCAAAAATTATGTCAAGAAAACAAATTAAGTTCTTTTAAAAGTAAAATTCATTCATTTTTTCACATTTAAATTAAAACGTATTTACGTAATGAACATTGTTTTTACATCTTATATAAAACAAAAAAAATATAAAGTTTTGTATAAGTAAGACGACATGATACATTTGAACATTTTTCTTCAACACATAATGCATTTTCAGATTAAATATAATTATAAAATTCACAAGAAAGAAAAAAAAATATTATTCGAATACATTTTATATTTAATAAAAACTTGTTTACATAAAAAATATAAATTTTAATTGATTAAAATTTCTTATTATATTTTGAAAAAGAACTTATAATCATAAGAAATAAATTGAAATAAATACTACTTGAATTCAATTTGAAGTGCAATGTATAGTCTAAAGTACAATAGCACAACGATAAGGAAATAAAAGAATTTTTTAAATAAAGATCCATAAATAGTACGTTTTAAATTACATAAAATTAAAAAATTTTTTTTCATTAAAATTAATTAAATTGAAATATATTTGATATTTAAATTAAATTTAATATTTAATATTTAAAGCGATTTTTATAAAAATTCCATTATAATAATTTTTATTTTAATATCATAAATACAAGCTTTTTTAATTAAAAATGTATAATAGTAGCAAATATAAATTTTATTTGTTTTAACCTAAATATATAGTGATATTTGCTTTTTAAATATAAAAAAATTCTATAAAATAATTTTTTTAAAATATTCAAATAATAAAAAATTTTATAATAAAAAAATATTAATAATTAACTATATTTCATTAAAAAATATATTAAAACAAATAATGTTCGATATAAATTATTATATAATCTATATGATTATATTATTTTTATATATTGAATAATTATTTTCAAATATAAATCTAATATTTATAATATTTGTATATGTTTTATATTTTGTTGAATTCTTGAAACAAATTATAATAAATTAATTAATTTAATTTCTAACGAAGAATTATTGAATTATTAATTTAATTATTAAGAAAAAAATAAAATTGAAATGTTGTTTAATGATAAATGTATGATTATTGATGATTAATAATAAATGATATTAACAACAAATAATAGTAAATAACTGAAAAAAAATGCTTATCGAAAAGTATAACATAAATTAATTAAAATAATAATAATATTTAATAAATTTAGAAGTAGGACATTGATTCCTATAAAGATTAAAATTAATAAAACTGAAAAATGATTTATTTCTAAATCAATCATGATTTATTAAAATTAATATATAAAAAACAATAAATCATTCTAAGAATGTATATATAATATTTAAAATATAAATTAAAAAATTCTTATTGATTAATATTAATATTTATTTAAATATTTATATAACTGATCATCATTTTTTATTTTTATAATATGTATATGCCTTTGAGCCAATTAATTAATTATTCAGAACATGTCGAAAAAATTCTTAGAAGTCTACTACGATTTTGAAAATAATAAATAATGATTATTTATTTTTCAAAACAATAAAATAAATAACATAATATATTTTTTAAAAATTATATAAAATAATTTATATAAAATTTATATTTAAATTTTGTTATTATATTAATATATCAGAAATTGTTTGAGGACTTCACAATTTACATCGATTTTACAACTTTAAATCGATATGAACTCGTACGATATAAAATCATAGAAAATTTACCAAAATATGTTTCAATTAATCTCAATCAATCTCATTTAATATCTTATTATATATGCTATATCATTTATTCTTATAGTATAGTTAAAATGTATATATATAAAAAAAAATAAGTACGAAATTATATCAAAAAATATAAATGTAAAAATAAAAAATTGAAAAAATTGAAAAAAAAAACAAAAAAATTGAGTAAAAAATTCAATACAGATTCAATGATAAAATTATATTTTCGTTTCATTAATTCATATTTCATTAAATTGATTAATATTTATTGTAATCTGGAAAAAATAATGTATTTATATACATTTAACAATTAATTATAACTAATATTAACAATTAACTATAATTATAAATTTAAAAAATAAAAATTAAAAATTATAATTAAAAAAATTTGAAAATATATTATAAATGATAAAAAATATTTATGATATAATAATAGTATAATTTAAGATTTTGAAATTATTTGATCAATATATATTTTTTATATAATATATAAAAAAATGATGTAAAAAAAATTTGAAAATCAATAATATAAATTAATAATAAATTAAGTAAATATAAAATTTCTAATTATTTGAAGATCAAAAAAAAGTTGAAAATACTGTTTATTTTAACGTATATTTAGTTGTGATTAATATAATAGTTTAATAATTTTAGATGTATCTTAATACTAGACGTATCTTATATAAGATTGTGAAATTTAAATCGAACATATATTAAAATAAAATATAAAAGTTTTAAAAATATTTCATATTAAATGCCACTTATTACAGCTACTTGTTGATTATTCAATAAATATTTTTAAATGAAATGTACTTATTTTAATAGTAATTATATCTTTCATTAATCAAGAATTAGCATATTGAAATAATAAAATTTCTAAAAAAATTTTTAAAAATTAAACAAATTATAATACAATAATATAAATTAAATCGAATACATACAAATGAATAAAATTCAAAATGTCTACCTCAAATTTAACTTTATCTTCAAATTTATACACTAACAAAATAATATTTTTTATGTTTGGAACATGTTTTGCTCTAAAAAATCTTATTGTAAACTGTATATGATAAAATCATATAATCTTTTTTATTTTTTTTTTCAAAATAAAATCATATAATTTAATCCTGTTTTCAATTCATAAATTCATAACGTGTCTTTAAATGAATAGATAAGTACGTAAATTTGCTTTACAATCTTCTTACCTCAAAAAGTGTTAGCAGCAATTTTATATATAATCTTCTAACCCCAAGTGATTTTCCGATAGATGCCAAAAAGATTATGGCCAGTAAAAACATAAGAAAAGGTGTCAAAAGTAAAGAAACCGCTAACGACATCACCATCCACAACGGCGCCATTTTGCTTACTGCCAAGAGTCAAGCAATAACCAAGAAAGTTAAACGATTGTTCACTTAAAACCTATGTGTACGAATATTATAGTAAAATATGAATTGAAAATTTTCGCTGTCCTCTAGGGACTACTAAAAGAAATAAAAACAATAATAAAGAACATGATAAAATATTTTATTATCTTGACTACAATGTCATATTGTAACATTATTGATTTACAAAGGAATGAAATAACTATAATAGAGTGAGAAAATTTTGTGAATGAGTATTTAAATATTACATTACAAACATAGTACATAAACTGAGAAATCTGTATTTTCCATTAAAGATTAAACATAATAATTTTTCTTTAAAAAAAAAATTATTAAACAATGTTTAATAAATTGATTTTCTGTATTACATTTATGATTGAGTAAAATAAATAATGAAAGAAGAACAGAAATAAAAATTAAAATATCTCCAGAATGCTATAGATGAAAATAATACAAATAAGGAGAGTAAATAGTAACAGCAGAATAAAAATAAGATAAGAATTAATCATTTGTGCTATCATTTTTCAGACATAGGATAAGATAAAATAAGAATTGAACATTAACACTATCTATTGGGTGTTTTTAAAAATGATTTTTTAAAAAAATTATTTTTAGTATTCAAGAGATGTCAATAATAGTCAATTCTTACTTTATCTTTATTCTTCATTACTATTTGCTTTATATTTATATAAAGTATTCTAAAAATATGGAAAAATCGATATAAATAATTGAAAATTCTCAAGATAATTTTAAATAATATTTTGCATGGATTTTCATTAAAACTTTGTTAATTAAGTAAGTATTAACAAAAAACACTAGCCAATCATAGATACTGCGTAAATTAATCAAGTAACAACGGTAGTGTTGATTATATGTTGCTGGCTGAATACAAATAAATCCAAATAACATATGTTAAGAAAAATATGAAATATAACAAATTTTTTATCAACATAAAATTATATTGAATTATATCTTATTCAGAAAAAATGAATAAACTAATTGATTGTTATTTATAAGACATTTGTAGGATTCTTCTCTTTTTTTATTATCTTCCATCTGTTTTGTCATCCTTCCATCTCGTTTATTATTCATTTTTGTAAAGATATAATATAATAATTCATAATGATAAATTTTTCATTCTCTATCTTTCTTTTTCGTTATTTTTTTTTGTTATTGTTTGACTAGTTTCTACGTCTATGTTCCGTGATTGGCCATTTTTTTTTTTTAATATTTCATCAACAAAATTTTAATGAAAATTTTTGTAAAGAAAAATGTTATTTGAAATTATTTCAGAAATCTCTAGCTAACTATATTATAATATATAATATATAATATATTAACTATATTATATTATTATATTTTTTTTATATATTTTTATATTATTTTTGAGACAATCTGCATATAAAATTGATTTTTTTCATTTTTATCACATTTATATTTCATCTTTAGTTGTATGTAAAATAACCAAAATGATAAAAAATGGATAAATTAATTTTTGATTAGTGATATCATTTTTTCGGGAAATATTGAAATTTTTTTTAGGCATTACATTTAATTATGATAATAAAATAAATTGTTAAAATAAAATTTTGTTTTTAAACTAGATTAACTTATACGATAAATTATATATAACAATAAATAATATCTTTCGATTATTATTAATTCATGCAAGTATGATTGATACAATATTAAATAAGAAAACAAAGAATAAAAGAATTTATTAATAAATTAAATAAAAGAATTTATTAATAAATTATAATGTATTTTATATTTTTATTATAAATAAGAATCATGATATTTATATAAAAATTTTTAAATTTAATAAATATACATTCGAGCTATATAATATTTATAGAATATTTATATAATATTTATATAATATAATATAATATATATATAATATATATAATATATTATATAAATATAATATAAATATAATATAAATATAATAAATATAATATAATATATTTATATAATATTTATAGAATAATAATTCTGGTTTTAATATTCAAAAAATTCGCGGGAAAAGATTCAGATTTCAATCAGAGTTCTCTAGTATCTAATACTTAATACATTGAGAAAATGTCGTCTCTTGAAGCAGGTCCAAGACCAGTGCAAGTATCTCCTTTAATTAAAGTGAGTATCATTTATTATAATGCAGTTTTAAAAAATATTTATATTGGAATATTACAAAGTACTATTTATTTGGCAATGCTTTGTTGAGATTTTCTTTCGTTACAAAAATGAATAATTCTGAAGAAGTAAATTCTTCTAAATTCATTATATTACATAATTTTTATTAGAATATTAAATAAATAAATTTCTTAAATATTAACCTAAATATATGTAAAAGTTATATTTTATTTATTCTATATATAGTTCAACATTTAATGATAAATTAATATTAAATTTATGTTTCATTTTCTAACCTCTTTAATAGAAATTAAACGAATATAAATTAAATATATTTTGTTAAATGAATTAAATAAATATTAAATAAATATTTTTTTCTTTTTTTCAATTATTTATTTACATATTTACTAATATATTTCATATATAAACATTTAGAAATATGTCTTATGAAATTATATTATTAAATTTTTTATAGTTTTCTCGATGGAGTCTCTTGTTAACTGGAATTCTATATGGTGCTTATCATCAAAGAAGATTTACTAGAAAAGAAAATGCTCTTCGTGAACAAGAACTTAAAGAAAAACCTATTAGGGATGCAAAATTAGCAGAAGAGAAAAAGAAACTATTGGAAGGTAAAAAATAAATTTAATCATAATTGCAAATTAATAACTTTAATTATAATCATAATTTTTTTGTTTTAGCTGAAGCAAAAATGATAGAAGAATGGTCAGGAATAAAAAAATAAAATATAATACATTTCAGTAGTATAAATATGTATTTTTTTTAAATTAATATTATTTTATATCTTTAAAAAAATCATTATGTCAATTTTGGTTCATTACAATAAATGTTAAATATAAACTTCTTATTGTATATATATAAATATATATATATATATTAAATAAAATAATTTATATGGTAGACTGTAATTATATCTTTAATTTTATATTTCTTCATATTTATTTTCATATATGTAAAATTAAATAATTACATTTCAATAGATACAATACATTGCATTTTGTATATTTTATAAAAAAATTTTTTAAATCATAAACTTATATAAAAAAAAATTTTCGCCCGAACAGGGACTCGAACCCTGGACCCTCAGATTAAAAGTCTGATGCTCTACCGACTGAGCTATCCGGGCGATTGAATCAAAAATTTGCAAAATATATACCTACTCTTAGTACTATAATAATATAAATAATATACTAATAATATAAAATTAAAATTTATTTATGTATAATACAAACGCTATAATGTATATATTTTTTATAATTCATATAGATAATCCTAGTTTCTTATATATATAATTTATCATTTATAAAAATTATATTTCTCAAAAAAAGGAAGTTATAGACAATTTTTTAATAAAAATTACAATTATGTCATATATTTTATTTTATTCATTTTTAATTTTTATTACTAAAAATTATTAAAAACAATATTTTTTCTGTTTACAGTTTTATATTAGTTATTAATGTAACAAATAAAATTATTGAACATAATGTAAATATATTTTTGAAGATATACATATAAAAATAAATATTACAAATATAATGAAATATATTATAATATTCTTGTAAATAATTTTACTTTACATATTTTTATTATTTTTAAATTATTTACATAATTTTATATATCATAATGGAATGAAGAAAATATTAACAATAAAGAAAAATATTCTTACAAATATATACAAATATTATATCCTTATATAATATTTAAAATGCATCAAGAAATATTAAATTGAAAGGATAAAAAGCATTGGATATAAAACATTTAGAATGTATATATATTGTCATCGAGAGAAAAAGCTTAAATGTTTTTGGTCCAAAAAATATAATTTTTTTTTAGATATACAACTTTCTTTTTAAGCTATAACTATTTCTGTTTTGTTATTATTGGTAATCAATTGCAGAAGACTTCCATTTATTGGACGTTCTTGATTTTGTGACCATTTCCAAAAGAGACTATAAGACAAAATATTATTTGTAAAAAAATAAATTTAAATGCCGAATAAGAAAAAAATGTTACTTACTCTGCAACAAATTCAAGTGAGGTCCATTTAGATGTGTCAGCATTTGGCATCCATTTTCTATTCATAGGTGTATCTAAAGTGACAGGTAAGATAGAAATAACAAGAGAATCTTTAGGAAAACCACTATCTTTAGTTGCTAAAGATTTAGTAAGTTGATGAACAGCAGCTTTGGCCATTCCATATCCAATCATCCCTGGTGTTTCTGCTAATGCAGCTTTAGCACCAGTTAATGATAAAAATCCTCCTTCTTTTAAATGATGTGCAGCAATGCTGGCAGCAATAACTGAACTCCATACACTTTGCTTCCACATAAGTTCACTATTTTTTACAAAATCCTTATGAGCTGCATTTCCACCAGCCCATCCACCAGCCACACATATAATTGCATCTAGTTTATCTCCTTTTAAAATATTTGTAACTTGTTGCAAAATATCAGCTTCCTAATTAATAAAAAAATTTTTGATTTCAATACTAATATATATATATATATATCATTAAAATTTTTATAATTTATATAAAAAATAATAAAAATAATGAATAATTTAAATAATAAAATATATAATTTTTATTTAAATAAATACAATATATAAACAATTACCTGTTCTTGCCAATTACTGTCTGATTTTACAATTATATTTGCATCAGCTTGTTCATTTACTTTCATATCAATACAGCCAACCCACTATGATTATAATATTAATATAATTTTATATATATTATTTTTTTAAGCTTAATAAAAATTTTATAATTATAAATCTTATGTAGAATATAAAAAATTAATTAAAAAATATAATATGATAAAACAAATATTTTTATGAGTTTTTATGAGTTTTATGAAAATAAGATAATTAGAAATATTTTATATTTGTTTAACAAATATATTAGAGATATAATATATATGTACAATGTGAAAGGATAAGTATGGCCTTGATGTATTTTTCCTACACAAGAATGGTTGACATGAATAGTTATAACTTTTTTGTTAAAATTATTTTTTTATAAAAAAAGTATATATTTAATTTATTTTAAAATATATAGTAATATGTATTTAATGATATAAATTGTTCATTTAATTATAATTAAAAAATAAATATATGTAATTTATTTATAATGAATTAATTTATGAATTAATAGCATCCATTGTAAATACATATATGTATATATATATATATATATATAGATAATAGACAGAAAAGACAAAAAAAATATTGTATTTTATAATATTCAAAACAGTGCGCGAAAAATTAGTTCGCGATTTGAATGTATGAATTATATAAAAATATTATAAAATTAATATATATTGAAAAAATTATTGATTTAAATTTAAATTTATAAGGATATAAAATAATTTTAAAAGAAGCATACCTAGTATATACATATTATGTAAACAAATATATATTTATAATAAAAAAAAAAATTTTCTTATTTATAAATTCATCTAACAATTACTTGAAATTATTTAGTAAATATTTAGTAATATTTAAAAGGAATAAATTGTTAATATGCATAATTGATAATTTATTTTTAATTAAATAAAATTAATTAATAATTTATATATACGTTATTTTCAAAAATAATCAATTAAAAAACTGAAACTTTTATAAAAAAAAAAATCAGTCTTACTAATAATAAAAATGATATTCAGATTTTTTTTACATATTGTAATAATTCATTATTACTATTATTATTGTTATTATTACTTACCCAACTTTTCGACTTGAATTTTGAAATACAAGCCGAACCTAAAGCACCTTTACCTCCATATACAAAAACACGTCCAAGTATTGCCTCCATTGTTCAATAAAAGAAACAACTTCGCGAAATACGCTTCGGGAGTTGCGATTATATACGAAAGAATACGAAGTCATACGAGAATCTTTCGGAAAACTTCGTAAAAGGAATGCTAGATTGCCAGATTTCGGCACAAACTATGAAAACAGATTGTCAACTGAGTAGTCGATATTGTTTCATTAAAAATATTTCGAATTATTTTACATATAATATACATACAAATCTTAAAATTATATATATTATAATTTATGTTAAAAAAATTGAAATAATTTGAAAATTTAATATGATATCATAATTTTATTTATATAATTTTTATAATTTTAATGACATGAAAAATAAAACCATTTTTAAATATATAATGAAGTTATGTAAACTTCTTATCTATATATAATTTTTCTTCATTTTGTATTATTCTTTCAAGAAATTTTATTAAATAAATAATTAAATAAATTGACTTAGTTTATATAAAACAATATGATCATATTTTTTATATTTGAATTTCCCACGCACATTTATAACAAATATGGCAACATCGCAATGACAGAGACCCTGCCCGCAACGTTCTCCGGGAGCGTAGGTCTAGTGTGACGTCACGGTAGCCTAGTTGGGTTAGGTTTTACGCTGGAAATTCTAACGAAAAATTTTTTGTTTGACGATTAATGTTTTTCCCATTGTATCTGCTACATCGAGCGACGTGAAGAGCTAACGCAGTGGCGAGCAGTAATCATATTTCATAAATCGTTCGATCGCGAGACTTCGCGCTATCGGCGTATATGAGATTTTAAACGGAAAATGAATCGACATGACGGTATGTACGTGTGTGCTGTTTCTGACTAGCAAGTCAGCCTTCACTTCACACACTAAATTTATTTTATGTTGATGGCAAAATTTTTTGATTATGAGATATTTGGGGATGTGCATAAAAAGTTTCTGCAGACTCATCGTCGAGGTTACGAAATCGACAATGTATGAGATTTTTCCTAAGACATTTCTTGTAAGCTCTGTACCAAAGGGTCTAATGTCAGAGGCCAGATGGCAGCACTTATAAAAAATTTACTCCAATTTCTTTGGGTTTATAATGCTTTTTGATGATTGTACTCAATTTTTTGTGATGTCATCATTTTTTGCTATCTTAATTATAGAAAATGAATAAAACGTATAAAAAATATTTATTGATTAACTATCAAGATATTGTGCCAAATAATTTCTTTAAAATTACTTTTCTTGTTCAATTCCTTTCTCTTTCTTACAATGTTAAATCTTTAAAACATATTGGAACATATTTCTCTTATTCTATATGTTTGAATTAATTTCTTTTTTGACTTTTTTTAACTTTCATGTTTGTATATTTTAATTAATGCATTATTTATTATATTCTTATAATATAATATTAACATTCAACGTAATTGTAATGGATTTTTACATTACAATATTAATATGAAAATAATGAATAAAAGAATATTTAATCATCGTCATTACTTATTTAATATACAAATAAAATTAGCACATGTATTCTTTCATATTTATTTAATATTTATGCATGTTACATAATTGGAATTAGAAATATTATATTGAAGTTTAAAAATATATGTATTAAGTTTCAAAATTTTAACATATATATATATATATATATAAAATTCAAGAATATTAATATATATATAATATATAATAATATATATAAATTAATTTTTATAATATTATTATGATAAAGTAATATTGTTTTTTTTAATTACTTATAATATGTTTATGCATATATAACTTATAATCTAAAAATAGTATAAATTTAAAAAATTATGAATATGTATGTGTATATGTATAATTTTTCCAAATTTTTTTTGATTTTAAAAGTCAATTTTTTATATATATAAACAAATTAAACTTTAAATAATACATTTAATTATAAGAATATTACATATTTATATATATGTATATAAATATTTTGAAGTAAATTTATTTATTTAATTAATTTATATTTATATTTAAATTAATTTTTTTATTAATACAAATAATTAAATTATATATACTTATCTCTTTTAATGCATAATTTTATGTTAAAAATTATATATACTTAAGATAAACTTAAGTAACCTGTCTATCTTTAATAAATTTAGTTCAAGGTTATTATATGCATATGCATTATATGTATATATGAAAGATATATAAATATTTTTTTAAAGTGTTTTTAGTCAGTTTTATTTTTCATTAAAATTTTTTATATAAGTGTATTTATTATAATTATTATTTATATAATATTTTTTGTTTATATATTATTTATTATATTTATTATATATTAATTACTATATTAATTATTATTATATGTAAATAATATACTTTATTAATAATATTATTAATAATATTATTATTAATAATAAATTTAAATTATAAACTTATTAATATAAAATATGAATTAATGTATAATTTATTCCAGGGGTAAGTTGTGACGCCTGCTTAAAGGGGAATTTTCGGGGTCGCAGATATAAGTGCCTCGTATGCTACGATTATGATTTGTGTGCCAACTGTTACGAAGGAGGTGCCAGTACTACACGTCACCACAGTGATCATCCTATGCAGTGTATACTTACTAGATCTGAGTTCGGTAAGTTGATTATTAAATTTTATATACTATTATAATTTCTTCAAACATATTTAATATATATAATTAATTCTTATTATTTAATTAATATTTAATAGAATTATATTATGGTGGAGAGGCAGTAAGTGTAGAACAACCGCAATCTTTAACTTGTCCTTATTGTACAAGAATGGGTTTCACTGAAGCTACACTACAAGAACATGTTGCTGCAGATCATTCAGATACTTCATTTGAAGTTGTATGTATATATAATATAATACTGTTTATAATGCATTTTATAACAAAAAATTACAAATTTTAATTTTGCTATAGGTTTGCCCAGTATGTGCATCTATTCCAGGAGGGGATCCGAATAACGTGACTGATGATTTTGCGGGTCATTTAAGTTTGGAACATCGTAGTGGACCAAGAGATTTGATCTCTTTTCTAGATGAACCAGCTTCAAGTAGATATACTGGTAGACGGATAACACATTCATCTAGAGTTGTTGGTGGGCCACGGCCTCGCAGGTATATATATTGCTGATATATATGACTATTCAATTAAACATTTACAACATTATTTATAATAATGTATTTATATATATATTTATATATTTTTTTTTAATATATATGCATAAATATATTGTTATAAATATATGTTATAAATATTATGAATATTATAATCAAAATTGAAAAGAAATAGAAAGAATTATTTTTTATTAAAAAATGAAATATTAATTTATTAATTTATTATTTTTTTTTAATATTAATTATCATAAATTATATCAGTGTATCAATTTTTTAATATATTGATGCATGTATTTTTTTGAGTATCATTTTTTGTTTATTATATATTAATATTGTAATTTATCAATCATTGTCATTACTTATTTATTAAAATATAATAAAACAATTATTATATATTATATAATAACTATTAAAGCAAAATATGTTTTTATTTTTAAAATATCTAAGAAGAACTAAAAAATAGCACTAAAAATAGCAAGATTTCAGCTTCAGTTCATCATCATCTCATCTTAGATAATGTTCATTGGCGTATCATTGGACCTGCAGGTCCAATATGCATTTCAGTTCGTCTGGAGGATTGAGTCCGAGTAGTCGAGAAGGTATAGATCCAATTACAGAATTACTTTCTCAATTATCCGGTGTTCGTAGAAGTGGTGGAGGAACTGGTCAGAGTTCGTCAGCACCAACGCAATTACATCAATTGCAAATGCAGCTACAGTTAGAACGACAACAAGTTAGAGTATGTATAATTTAATATATATAATATATAATTTAATACAAAAAAATTTTTCATTGAAATGATTTTAATTTACTTAATAAAAAAATTTTATTGAAGCAATTTTTTTTTTAAAATAAATAAAAATATAAATTTTTATAAATATTTTTTATTAGGCTGCTAGACAACAATTGGAGCGGTTACCTAGGAGGCAGACTCAAGTTCTTGGTTCTGCAAGTTGTGGAGGAATTATTAGTGGAAGTGGTCATTCTACTACTATGACCAATGTGGTAGCAAATAGTACGACTAGTAACAATAATACAAATAATGTGGCGAACCCGTCCGGCGTATCATCTACCAGTTCACAGAATTATATGTTTCTATTGCCAAAGTATGTATTATATTCTAATGTTAATATACAATAATATATTTAGACAAAATTTAATATATAATAATATACAATAATATATTTAGACAAAAAAAACATCCAAATTATTATTTGATATTTAAATATCTTTATAAATATATTTTTGCGCATTACAATCGCGCGTATATACTCTTAAAAATCTTTTGTCTAAATTTGCAAAACTGCATGTCATGATCAATGCGTAAGATGCCAAAAATATTTAAGATAATTCCATGAAAATATGGTGAATGAAACAGATACATCTTTTTTTAGTTTTCAAAGGACAATAATTTTATATTTATTTAGAATTTTATTTAATTATTATATTAAATATGATTAATTGTATATATAAGTATTTTTTTTCTTGTTATAGATGTATTACCAGTTCTCTCTCTGACTCACAGTTGCAAAATATTGAACGTGAAAGTGCAAATAGAAGTCTTTTTACGTGCGAACTTATTCTTGGAACACTTTGTCAAACATTGCCGGAATTAACACAGGAACAATCTGTAGCACAAACACCAGTATCAAGTGCAACTACTGCTACAAACAGTCCCGAAACACCAAATGCTAATTCTTCCACAATTTCTACAAAGAAATTAAATGTAACTCAAGAAGCGAAAAGGGATCAAACAATGAATAAACATGTAACGCAGACATCTACGCAACAATCACATACTGTTCAGACTACTACTGCTGGTAGTGTAGGGACAGGTCTTCAAAGTCAAGGATTGCCTCCAAATTCTAATAACCTTGCGTTACAAAATACACCTATGGTTCAAACACTGATGCATAGTGTATTACCTGAATCATTGGTAAATATAAATAATAAATATAAATAAGTTAAATATATAATGTTAAACATATAATTAATTTTACAACTCGTATTAAAAAAATATGATAAATATAATTTAGCACTTGTATTTTATTATATAGGTATTGCAGGAACCACTGTCACTACCATATAGTAGAACTATCAGAGAACCGATAGTAACTCCAGCGCCAGCGTACCTTAGAGGTGGAGTTGGTCCAGTTGGCGTAACAGGTCCTTCACGTAGGAAGCCGGTTAGAGCTGTAGATGGCAGAAACCAATCTACGGAACCTCCGCCCCCACACTAACCCTTCCTTAGCCCGTACCCATCCACCCTGATTCCTCACAGGACCCTCTAGCACTAGTCCTAGCACTGTTTAGAACACCTCATCATTATTGTTATTATTATAATATTATATATTAATAATTATTCAAATGCCCTCCTCCTCACCCTCCCTATCTTATCACTTCTCAAAACTCTAATCTCGCCATCTTTTGTCGTTACGTGACATGGAACAAGGGCAAGGGCTGATTCGCCGACATATGCAAATAATGTAAATAACTCACTTCTTGCAGTCATATACACTCCTCGCCAGAGGTTGAAAACGGTTATAATATGAGTTCGGATTCTCGAAACAGTTGTAAGAACCGACATAATGTAACAGTTGTAGGTGAAGAAAGTTCTGAGGGTGCAGGACCTATATCGGTTATGGATACATTTCTGGAATTTGTTATGTTTTATAAATCAGTTATGTATCAATTCTGTACGTTTCTAAAAATACATTAATTATATATCAATTTTGAATTGATTGAACATTAATTTAGTATTAATTTAAGATATTGTTAACACTAACATTATTAATTTTTATAATATATCAGTTAAATATTAATTTTGTAACAATTATAATTATTGATTATTTGTCCTTTTAACAAAATGATATAGAATATTTTTTATACAAAAATATTTATTTCTATAGATTTCAAATCAAAACTGTTCATTAATTGCTCAAGAATATATCTATATTTCACTTCTGGTCCATTTATTTTAATAGTTATTCTTCAGAATTTGTTTACATGTTACAATATATTTTTTTATCATTGAATTTCTTTATTTAGTGTAAATCAAAATTTGTTCTTGTATCTTATTCTATATAAAAAAAAGTGAATTGAAAAACAAAATGATAGGAATCTAACTTTTACAAAATCGATGTAATAAGAGAATGCAACATTATAATCAGAACCGATAAAAATCAGAACTTATTTTTATCTATAATAATTTTAATATTATTTTGGTTCTTTATAATTGTTTAATTAGAATCTTCACATAACATTTATTAACCGTTATTTATGGAACTTTCTCAATCTCTGCTCCTCGTACACGCTCTTCAGCGAGTCTTGCCACGTTCTACATCGATATTATATCCACTTACAATAACTTAATCGAGGCTAGAGACGGGCAGGTAAAAATAATAATAATATAATTATATTAGCGTTTTATGTTTGGTGGTTGTATGGGTTTGTTAGAACAGAATTAGATTGATAAAATACTCAGTTTTATTTAACACGTAAAACCTCGGGAATGTAGAAACTTTAACAATTCACAAGACGCACTGCCCGTCATACGCACCAGTTTAATTGTGTTTAATTTAAACTGGTAAAATTTTTTTGGTCGTCGAATATTAAATACATTTCTTAAAAATTAATTATTATTGTCATATATATCTTTGAAATATGTTTAATGATAAAAGATTTATAAATTTATCTGGGTTGGTCCGTTTACATTTAACGTATCTTAATCATCAGACATTATTTTAAAGAAAAATATTAACAATTTTAATCTATAATTTATGGTATTATAAAAATTTATATGCATTTTGTTAGAAAAGTTTTAAGTAACCAATTATCGAGGTTTAAATTAATTCAAAATCAATAATTAAAGTAAAAATTAAGTTGGCGGACCATCCCTTGATATATTTCAATTGAATAAATTAAAATTTTAAAATGGAGGGATTAAATTGGGTGCTAAAATGTTAATTAAATAAATCTTAAATCATTTTTTCTATTAAAATCAATCGTATTTATTTATAGCATTTGTTATGAACTTTTTTTTTTTCGTTAATGTTTTGAATTTCTCCATACATTGCACTAAACATGTTTTAAAAATATTATATGAATTTTTTTTAAACGTTCATTTATGTATCTATAATCGCTCCATTTTATAATGTGAAACGAAATAATATTTGTATGTGTGTTCGCTCTTTTTTTCGATAATAGAGACTTTATTGATTTGGTATATATGAGAATTATACGATGTATCGAAGAAAAATTGAGGAATGTTTGTATTCTTCGAATTGAAAGATACTAAAAGTATAAAGTTAATATTTCTTTTACATAGAATTTAATCGAAAACAATGCATGTACGTAATATGTGCGTATGACGCACGCAAATGCATTCGAAACTTGTGAAGATTCTACTGAAAGTAGAACCTGAAAACGCTCGTACAAACGAGCAATAATTATTTTTCAATTATGTTTAACTCTTACTGCTCCCTCCTCCCCTTTTTTTTTTTTAATTTTTGCCTATATTTCTTGTTTATCATTTATGTACATTTCATATTGTAATTAATTTCCCTTGTATTACTTTCTGATCTTATGTTATTTGATTTGTGGGTGTATCTGCAAGATGTGGATGAAAATGAAGTAAAATTATACATATACATATATACATATAAACTTGTAAAAAGTTATGCAAAATATGTAGCGTGTGATTTAATTTTTTTGTCTTATGCTTTCGCGTGTTCTGGCATTCTCGATGGTAAATTCAAAACCGAGTTACTTATGACGTTACAAATAACCAAAGGTATTAAAAATATCATACGTTTCGTTCTTTTTTATTTTCCTTGAATCTTTCATTCAATTATAATTTTATATCTTCATTTAAATATATTATCCGCTTCACGCACCTATTTTCGGATATTTCTAACTTCTCATATTTCTCTTATGATGTATGAGTTGGAAACAATATATAAAATAATGAAGCAACGATATGTAAAAAAAAAAGTATACTAATTGCCTTAACGCGAAATGCCTGAAAAGAGAAAAGTCCAGACTTTTGCGGAATGTGTGGTTAATCAAAAGAATCCTTCGCACGTGATACTTAAATAAAAGTGATGCTGTATACTGATCCAAAGTGAATAAATATGTGCATATCTAAAATTGAAAGATACGAATAAAAAAGGATAAAAAATGAATTTCTCATTGATGTGCACACTTCGATGACTGATAAACTAATTATTTTTCAAATTTTACACGAATTCATAAGCGTATAATCTCAGAACGAAGCAAGACTCCAAGCACGTTTAATACAGAAAATTAATTACATCAATTAAAGAAAGGAAAGAAAGAAATAATTAACAAGATTTGCTATGTATTAAATAACTTCATATAAAGTCGAAAATTACAACTGTTTGTTTTTTTCTTCTATTCTTGTCATTGCGAACTTATGTTCCCCTTGTTTCCACGTCACTTTGGGATTGTAAAATTTTGGATTTTTACATGTCTATTTTATTATTAATATTATTTTATTATGTTTATCATCATATGTATTATATAGGATGTAACAGGAAAATGTCTGATACATCTCGTTATCAGAAAAAATGTTTCGAGGGATAATGTAACGCCTGTTCCAAAAGTTCAATGCTGTATTAATATCGTTATATTTTTATTGTTAGGATGTTTGTCATATTTTATTCTGAAATCTCAGCATAATCTTAACAAACAGCTTTTTACATTATATATGAATAAATATATATATATATATATATATATATTTATTGATAAAAATGAAAAGATATCTTGGAGTATCATCGTAACGCTTAAATTCTTCCTTTTTCTTTTCTTTTTCTTTAAAAAAAAAAGCATACATAATTAAATTCTTAATTTATAGATATTCTTAAATCTTAATTAATTGCATTAGAAAGTTTCGATATTTAGTATTTTTAAGAAATTAGTATGCTTTAAAAGTATCGACGATTCTCTGGATATCCTTCATGAAAAAAGAAATAAAATTATCAAACAATTATTCTTGTGAATGAAGTAACAAACAGAAAAAAAATATTCTTGGGTGGCTTAAACGGTTGTTTTTATCACGTCCTTTATCCGTATGTCGTCGAGTATATCAGAAAAGATAATTTTCTGTCTGAATTTTTAATCGAAACTTTTACGCCCGACGAATTAACAAAAAAGAAAAGAAAGAGAATGAAAAAAATAGAAGAAAAGACAACTTCACTAAGAATATAATTCTGTCAAAGTAAATGTAACCAGTTCTACAATGAATCATGAAGATTAAAGGTGGAATTCAACCTCGTTACATTTTTTGGATTAAAAAAAAAAAAAAAAAAATAAGAAAAAACAAAAAAATATGGAATAACATGGAACGCGTACGACATTTTCCCCTTTTCTATTCGATGAAGAGAATTTTCTTCTAATGAATTGAAAAATTCGATTTATATTTAAATATATTTTTTGCATCATTGCCTATAGTATGAATATAAATAAATAATATATAAATATGTGTATATACATATATACATACATATATATATATATATATATATACACATATATATATATTAAATATACATATTAAATATACATAACATACATTGACGTGAATGTATGTATACTTCTACGCACTTGTATAAGAGCAATTGAATAGTTGCATTTGTGCGTAGATTCGTCTTATTTTCTTTATTAATTAATATAAAGAACGTGAGTTTACGTATCAAAGTAAAAATTATGTAGATGGCTAAAAATAAGGAAGGAAACTGAGAATAATGCGATTGAAAACACAATACACACAATTTATCCTTAGGAAAAAAATAAAAAAATTTTAAATTTAATTAAAATGTCGATAATTTTAATTATCATATTACACTCTTATTACAATACTGTTTCTTATCTTTATAATCAATTATTAGCGATTAATAATAGGGCTTATATATAGATGGTGGCCCAATTATACGGGAAGGAATCCCTTTCTTTCTATAATGATATATATATGTATATATATATATATATATATATATATATATACATATACATATATATATTATTAAAATATAATAATTTTAACGAAGGGGATGTGTCGTTGACATTAATAATATTGTAATTAACGACGCGCGAATCATTCATAAAATTGTACTTTGTCATTAAGATGCTATCTGATAAAAAAAAAAGGAAAAAAAACAAAAAAAAATAATAATAATAATAAAAAGAAATAATGAACGTGAGAAAGGAAACTTTCTTTTCTTTTTTATTAAGAATATTTATTATACTATATTTTCCACAGTATTTTTGTACTGTGATGTATGCGGATGTGCATGATTAAGAACTGTCGCAGCGTTGCCTTCCTCACGTTAGAGTTTTATTTTCCTTGAAAAATTTCACAGTAAATAATATTTAACGAATACGACATGAATAGAAAAAAATACAAGATCTTTTTGGTATTAAATAAAATTAAATAAAATTAAATAAAACAAATTCTCAATTGGAGCATTGTTCGATTCATATTTTTGTTATATTAAAATATGTAATGTTGTTATAATATGAAAATTTTTTAGTTTGTTTTAATTATAATAATAATAATATATTTAATAGAATCATGTCGTGTTTAAGACGTTTGTCTTATGCATATTATTTTTGTTAAATATATTGAAATATTTTAAGATCGATTAATATTTTTGACAAGGAATTCTGACAAGTCTTACTTATAATCCTAGCCAAAGGAAGAAGCGAGTGGTGTACGGAGGAGAGCACGATAGAAAAATTTGTAGGACCTAGCAAAGCGCATATAAGTAAATGTATGTAACTAGAAAGAAGAGTGGGTTAAAAAACAATATAGCGGCTTTTGTAGCCCTCTAAAATCCAAATGATTTTTTTCTACATCTTCTTGTTTCAAGTGATGAAGGGTGGTGTACGGGATATAAGGGTAGAATCAAAACAAAAATGGATGTAATAAAGCTTCCCCCACATAAGTCCTTTCTAGTTCGTCGGGCAAACAAAGCAGTGTAAGAATGAACGAAGGAAAACTGTATGTATACATATTTGTGTATGTGTGTGCCTGTACGAGAAGAACAAAAGAAAATATGTTTCATCTTTTTTTTTTTCTTTTTCATTTTTTCTTTGCTTATCAAATAATTTTCATTTTAAGAATTTCTCAATTGAAACATCGATTATTTTATAAATGGATATATGGATTACACAACCAGGTTGAAATAAATTAGAGAAAGAAACACATAGAAAGTAAATCTTCGAATGCAAATATTGAATTGCAATTAGTATTATTGCAAATTTACTGGAGTTATGAACTTAATGGCACGGCCGCATTAAGCGTGATCCACTGCCTGAGCTAAAGAAATTAAAAAATAATTCATGATAAGCATTCATCGGCTTTATATATGTAAGCTTCAAAACAATGTTCACTCTTCGTTGTGAAAAAATGCAGATTTTCATGTGTAAATCTTTGAAAGACAAAATGGTGGTAGATGTTCTAGTTATATTATGCAAAACTGATCTCTTTATGATCAGTATAGTATTAGATATCGCACAATCGTGCATTCACAAGATTACCTTAATTCGGCCTTGCTCATCGATACATGTAGTTAAAGAGCACTCATTTTGTCGAGAAAACTAGATTTTTGATTTTTTAATTTCGACAAAATTGCTGTCAAAAGCATCGTGTAACAATGTATTGAATTTTTGCTAACAATTTTTCTCTAAGCCTGCTCGAAAATACATAATAAAATTACAGTGACTATTTGCGAATTTTTACCTGATTTTTAAAAAATCGAAAAAGAAATCGACCGATACAAAATGTATGGGTGTAATAAACGAAAGTGAAAAAGAGAAGAGAGAAAGAACAAAATCAAATGAAAAAAATTATGATGATAAAACAGAAATATTCTGCGTGACACGTTAAAATGAAAAGTGTTAACGAATATTACTACTAAAGTAATAATAGGCAATTAAAATGAAGTCTTATACATAATAATTATTGAAATGTAAATTGTGTTTGGTTGTATTTTGTGTTATTCGCCTCTGATGCTAAATATAATGGAAATTCGATTAAATTCGTTTATATTTATTATATAATTGTTATTATATATTGTTTATATTTATTATATAAATCGAAAAATTCATATATTTTTTTAAATATTGTAATAGAATTATTTGAATTTGAATTTGGCGCTAGTTTTTAAATTAGACTTGCGCACAAGTATTAACTTGTGATTTGTTCGTTACCATGAACGTAACCGTAGAATGATTTTGAAAATACGTATTAGTAATCTGTTTATTAATATAATATGTACATATGTATCTGATAAAAGTTCATAGTTTCGCGCGTTAGCAAATATTTTCAACATTTTAAAAAATTTCTAAAAATGGGAGAGTTACTTACTCTCGAAAGTGCTAAACAAATTGCAGCTTACAAAGCAGTTGACGAATATGTGAAGGTAATTTTACTTTTAAATAAATTATGATATAATAACAGGTTATATAAATTTACTAGTATTTTATTATTTAAATTTTGCGTACAACCATTTTACAGAATAACAGTATCATTGGAATTGGTAGTGGATCTACAGTAATATATGCTGTTCACAGGCTCGGTAAACATTCTATTTTATATATAATTATGATCATTTGTAATAAATTTTTCTTGTACATTACTGTAGTTTGTATTTCATTTTTTCTTTAAAACATTAATAGTATAGACCTTTGATCCCATAAAAAGATAAGATTATTTGATTCAAGTATAATTGCAACAAGTATATTTTAATTCTCAAATTATAAATTTTCTTACATAGATTTAAGATATTTCTAATATATATTTATCATATATTTATATAAATAAATGATTGGATAAATTATACTTTTCAGTTGAACGTGTAAAGGAGGAAAATCTTAATGTTATTTGTGTTCCAACTTCATTCCAAGCTCGGCAGTTAATATTAAATAATCATCTTACATTGGGTGATTTGGAGACCTATCCTAAAGTAAGAAACAATTTTTTATTATTATTTATGAAATCTTGTATATTGTTGTTTAAACATTAACAGTTGGATTGTGCAATTGATGGAGCAGATGAAGTTGATTCCGACATGAATCTTATCAAAGGTGGAGGAGGTTGTTTACTTCAAGAAAAAATTGTTGCATCCTGTGCTAATCAACTTATTATAGTAGCAGATTATACGTACATAAATGTATTTTTGTAACAGAAGTATTTTTGATAATTATTTTTATTTACAATATTTAATATAATTTTAGGAAAAATTCTCAAAAACTTGGTGAACAATATAAAAAAGGTATTCCTATTGAAGTAGTTCCTATGGCATATGTTGCTATTTTAAGAAGAATTGAAGATAATTATGGAGGACTTGTGAAAGTTAGAATGGCTTTAGCTAAAGCTGTAAATATTTTTTAATAAATTTTTTCTTATAAATTAATAAATATTGTGTATATTATGTTAATTATTCTTTTCTAGGGTCCAGTTATAACAGATAATGGTAATTTTATTCTTGATTGGCATTTTCCTCGTGATATAAGTAATTGGGATAAAATCAATATAGAAATCTCAATGATTCCAGGAGTAGTTGAAACTGGACTTTTTATAAAAATGGCAAAAAAAGTGTACTTTGGAATGCCTGATGGCAGTGTTAAAGAACAATTTTAATGTTTTATATTAACATTATTTTAAATATGTTCATAATTCATGATATTGATTTGAATTTAGTTTAAATTATGACAAAAGGATTTAAATAATCCTAATTTTTTTTTTTTTTAGATAATATATTTTCATTTTTGCCATTTATGACATATCATTACATTCATATACATTCAAATCTTATTCTTTTTACAACTAGATCTTAAATAAGATTGTGTTTTATAGACTGAATTATTTTCTGTACTTTTTACATATTTATTTTCTGATTCAATGTATAAAGGAACATAAAATACTTAAGATCTTTTTTTTGTGATAATTTTTATTCTAAGTGTGCTATAAGTGGTGCTCAAATAATTATATATATAATTATACACTGTTTGTATAACAATTAATCATTGTAAAGAAATATAGAAATTTTTATATAATATTTTATTCTTATTTATTATATATCTATATTAAAATTTTTATTTATCACTATTTTAATTCTATTTGCTAAATATTTTATAAAGAAATTAATGAAATACGCATCACTATAAATAATCTTGATGTATAAAAAAAGTAAACGCCCGAACAGGGACTCGAACCCTGGACCCTCAGATTAAAAGTCTGATGCTCTACCGACTGAGCTATCCAGGCATTCGAGGGTTGTATTTTTGTAACTAGTAAAAATATTGTTTATTCAAAAAAATTCTATTAATTTTATTGATTATTACAATTAATTGAATAATATATTAAACATGTACGAAAATTATTTTCTTTCTTTTTATTTTAATAAATTATATCATTTATATTTATTTATTATATATCAAAATTAATATACCGAAATCTAATCTAGATATAATTTTTATGTAAGCATTTTTAACAAAGCGAAATACTGATAAAATGATTATTCATTTTATATATAAATTTTCTTGATATATATATATATATATATATATATATATATCAAGAATATTAATTTAATACATATCGCTTATTCATTAAGTTACAATCAATTATAAATTCAATTATAAATATATTTTTGAAAATGCATAAAAAATGACAAAATTTATAAAAATTTAATAAAAAATTTTATTTATAGATTAAATATTATAAATATATTATAGATTAAATATTATAAATATATAATAAAAAAAATTCATTTGGAAAATTCATGTGTGTAATGAACATTGTACATAAAAAAAAATTTATTGCATATAAATATATATAAAAAAAATATTTTATTTCTAAAAAATATTTTAATTTGAAATATATTATACGATATACATATATTTTTTAATTTGTATTTAATATACAATCGAGTAAATATTCAAAAAAAAAAAAAAAAAATGATTAAAAATTTAAATGAAAGAGGGTGAATGAGAGGCAGTTACCAAGGATTGAACAACTTTAACGTAACTCAGCGGGTTCTGATGTGCAAACGTTGTAAGTACTTAACCCCGGACTGCTTTCCTTTGATTTACACGAAGTTTCTTATCGGTCAATGCTTCATAAGCTGCTTCTTGCATTGATCGTTGTATAATGTTTCGATCTCCTGTTTTCAATTTTTGCATATTTCAAATATTATATATCATTATCAAATATAATACGTTATTTTTTTTGATTGGATGTAAATGAGATAACGTCATAAGAGATAGAAAACCATTAAAACCTTTCATACTTTTTAAAGATTTACATCTTTTAGCTTTTGATAATATTTTCTAGAAAAGAAAGTTACTTTGAAACTAGATTTAAAAGGGAAATTATTCTTTTCTTTTTAGAATTTTATTATTTCTTGTAATATAATATAAAAAAAAATATAGATATCATTTTTTAATTGCTTAACATATTTAAAATGTCTTAAAATTGTTTCATATTTGATAATTTTTATACATCATATAATATATTTAATATATTTATTATATATGTATATTATGTATATAGACTTCAATCTTTAATGCATGAACGGTTAAAATAGATGAAATGTGATTATTACAAACAAAACATGATCAAATGCATAATTTCTGCATTTCTTACCGATTAGATTGCAAATTACATCTTAGACTATCCACAATTTGTATAAGGGATGTTAAATGTACTGTTTCGAGGACTATTATGAATGATCATGCGTTCTTTCGGCGCATGTATTTACGCCCTCGAACGAAACAACGAAAGAGGGGATGAGTATTTGAAGAGCCGAAGCGCGATTTCATCCCTCATACGGAGACTTGACTTCTTCAGTGAATATCAATCTTTAGTCAAGAAACTTACTTATTTGAAGTACAGAAAATAAAATAATCGAGAAATAATCAAGAAGAATCTTTCAAGTTTCTACAAATCTTTCTTCAAGTTGCAGCTGATTTCTAGAGTTCAGACATTCGATATGAAGGTAACTTTTTTAACTCGTTTAGCTGTTTAAATTTTCAATAATTTTGAAAATATTATAAGTTAATTATAAGTTAATTCTCTAATCTAATCGATAAAGAAAAAAATTTCTTTGTTAAAGTATTGTTAAAGTAATTTCGTATATGAGAATATTATTAATATTTAAAACATGTCACGATATTACATGATAAAAATCGATCTTTTAGAAAAATTTATTGTATTTAAATATGTAATATTTTTTGTATGTACGTTTTTAAGAATATTCTCTTAAGTAATATAATTTATATAATTTATATAGATTATGTGTGTATATTTATATAGATTATATTAATTTTTTGATCTATTATAATGATGTTTCTATTTATTAATTTTATTAATTTATTAATATATTTCGGAAAGCTGCATTATTTTTTTCAATTTGCTTTCTCAATTGATAATAAAATTTGAATTAACTCATTATAATTTTCAATTATTTAAATATTTAAAGTAATAACGAAATTTTAACTTTAATATTCATTGAGATGTTATCAAAATAAAATGAAAGTTACAAGTTATTTTTATTGAATCATATCATTACATTGTATCTTTTTCATTGATACATTATATATTTGCAAAATAAAATTAAAAAGTTTGATTTGCATGGATGGCGAACTTATCGCTCGAAGGGATAATCGACCAGCTAGTATCGTTCGACATTAATTAACCACAGTACAAACCTGATTAAAGTCATAAGCAGATTATAACAGTTAATATGTTTCAAAGCTTCACATATGATACTTATATAATCAACGTGCTTATTAGAAATTACGTGTAGATCTATATAATTATTGAAATTTTATCTTGATTTTTCATTCTTTTTATTATCGGTTCATTAACTTATGAGTTTAATGAATAAGAAAACCAGAAATTCTTATTTCATTTAAACAAATTGAATACTCTTCGATTATCTATTCTAGATAATCAATTATGTTTGCTGTATCCTTACATTCGTATGTTTAATGAATGTGGCACATTCTGAAGAATCTCAAAGCAAGGTAAATTACATCATCTCAAAAAATAAATGACATCAATAATTACTTTAATAATTAACTGAAATTAAATCAATTGTTAGATGGAGCAACAATTTCTAGATGTTTTTACGACAGATGAATCGTTAAAAATGAAGAGACCTTTTTGCAATGCGTTTACCGGTGAGAAAGAATCTAATCTTCGATATAACAAAAGATACAATTATTTAAAATAATCAATTATTTTTAGGATGCGGGAAAAAAAGAAATTTCCACGAAAATCCAACTGATTCTCAGGATTTGGAAATAAATGGCAACATCCGACTTCCGTTTTCTATCTATAAGGCATTGCTAAGAGCAGCTACTCGAAACGTGAACGAATATCAATTATCTGGAATTCCACAGACGTATCTATCTGGTAGAATGCCTCTTCACAAAAGAATTGACATTCGATCATCATCTCTAGAATAATTTTTAGTAAAATCTCATCATTTGAATAAACGATTAATGCGAATTATTCGCGATGTGGAATATTAAAAAACATATTATTTTGTTATTACATTTCATTTTTCCGTTCTTTTATCTTAATAAATAATTTATTTCAGTGATAGAAAATATTCTATTTATTTAGTTCAATCTATTTATTTTTCTTTTACATAATTGTTTATATTTCTAGTAAAAACTAAATAAAATTAATTAAAAAATATATTATCGATTAAATTATTATATGTATATGTATATATAAATATATATTTATATATATTTCTTCATATATATATATGATCATCAGAAATAAAATCATCTAAAGATAAATTGTTAACTTTATTGTGATACTTCCCTTCCAAAGATATTTCGTATTGCTCGATAAGTGATCGATTGAAAACGGCAATTTATAGAAAAGAACTTGTCGTGGAACGCTCAATCCAACGCATTCTGGATTATCTGGTTCTCCAATTAATTTTGGACGACCCCAAAAATATTCCGAACAAAGCATGGATGGATCCCAGATTCGTGATCGTCGATCTCGTTGTGATTCCTTGGATGAATGATCTAAAATCTGAGGATTATTTTTATAAAAAAAACGATTATTTTTATAAAAAAAAAAGATAATAAAATTTGGAATTATTTGTTTTACCTCGAGACGAATCTTATAAGGAAATGGCCACTCAAGAATGGAATCATGGTGACCACGAGTTAATCCGACTCCTATGAAAATTGTACCGTCCGGAAAATATCGCGGTGTAACTTTGATGTACATGGCATATCCATTGTGGCCTACATAAAATGTTGAACTGCGTATGAAACGAGCAGTTTTCCAATTGGCAAGTTTCTCATCAAAACGTTTTATTTGCCAATAATAAAAAAAGAAGTTCGCGGATCCTGAAACATATTAAAATATCGTCAAAAATTTTGTATTCCGTCTTATTATTTTATATTGATTTTGCTTTTATACGGTTTCCTTTATTACATAAATATATAGAGAAAATATATAATATAATAATAAATCATATATAAAAAAAGAAATAAATTTATTAAATTTATTAATTCTCTTATTCAAATTTTCCTTTTTAGCGCATACAAACCGTTTAACGTTGAAATTCTTTGGATCGTATTATTGAAGTTATCGATTTCAAATTGTCTTGGAGTTAATATCTCACTTTCTTCATGATAGTCATCGAATAATTTCGTTAACTTTGGCAAGTCTTTTTTAATTTCTAGAATTGTGTAAAGTAATATCTTGATTTCTTCCAATTCTTTAGTTAGATTTTTTTCTAAAGCTTGTAACTTTTCATCGATCATTTCTGTTATTTACGAATAAAATTAAATGATAGAAAATGTTAAATAAAAAAAATAAAAAAATTAAATAATTATTTCTTACTTGTATTGCAAGTTCCAGTAAGTACTCTCGTGACACTTGCATGTGCACTAGTAACTAATTTTTCCGTAGCAATTTTACAAGATGCTTGTTGCGTTTCCGTGACACTTTCATCACTTGATAAATTTGTGTTTATTTTGGCTAAGATTTTAATTTTTTTTTAAATAAAATGTATATTCTTAAATATGCAACATTAAAATCTTTGCTTTCTTATTAATACTTACATAGTTTTGAAACGCTTACATCACAGCAAGTTAAGTAGAGCATATTCAGATATAAGAACAACAAAACCGTCGATGACATCTTGTAAGTGATCCGTTCTAAGATTATTCGAAATTTTGTCTACTCAAATAAAAATATCTCGATTTCCGGTTCTTATAAAAATAGATTCGATAGCATCTTTAAATAACTGTGTTAGAATTCTTAAAATTTTAGAATTCATGAAATATATTATTTGAAACAATTTAAATTTTAATAGCTATAAGATGCAGATGTAGTTCGTAGCATGATCCCTAAAAAACTGTCCTCTAGATTTCTTATGAATTATCAAATAAAAATAAATCCCTATTTCTCTTGTAATTAATTTTCATATAAAAATTAAAATATTCTTTTAGATTTTTACTTGAATCTTTTTTTAAAGTTTTTTTATATATATTCAAATTATTTTAAATAAATAATTTTAAATACATAAAGTTCTTCAATATTATATATATAAAATATAAATAAAACAATTAAAACAATTTTTTCATATTTAATGTTTAAAAATAAAAGAATAAAAATATAATATATATATATATATATATTATAAGCATTCATTTTATGTTATGATGCTAAGTTTCCTTTAATACATTTAGCGGTTTTTTTGACAGTCGCGTAGAAACGCGCGTATATATGGATGGTAATCCTGATTTTTATCATTTATATTCCAAATTAAACTGTATTTTATAACAAAATGAGTGAAAATGTACAAGGTACATTTGTATCGGAAAAAATTTCTAAAATTAGATGGAAACACGAAGATTTTGAAGATGCTACTAATTTTATTACTGGTAGTTGGGACGATCCGGTAAGGTTATCTTCAATGGACTTAACCTATTACATTATTATATACATATAAATTATATATAATTATTATATTGAATTATATTTATTAATAAATATATTTATTTACAATATTAGAATTTTTTATTTCTTTTCAGGTAAATAAAGTAACGCATTGGACATTTCAAATGAATGATGATGGCGAATCTTATCCAGCAGTCGTTTCATCCTATGCAATTCTCGGAGATGTAACTGAAATAAAGGTTTTTATTTATTATCTAATGAAGAATATATTTGTCAATTTTTTTATTAATATTATTTTTACAGTTTATTTCGAAAGATTTTTTTGTGGTGTCAACATCTATTGGTACTGTTAGATTGTTACAAATCCATGAAAATCCATATTCTCAATTTAAAGAACACATGTCATGGGAATTTATACACAGATTTGAGTAAATTTTATTAAGATTTTTATTTATTTATTTTATATTGTATATTTTATAAATTCTTTTTTAATAGTAATACAAATGATTATGCACCTTGTACTGGACTTTCCACATTTGAACAAGATATAGCTTCAGTGGGAGAAGATGGAAGAATTAATCTTCTAACAGCTGGACAGAAACAACCAGTTAGAGTTATTGGTATTATAGAATTTTATTCTGTAATATTCTATTTTTATATTTATTTTGTATATTGTTTTCAAAAATAGATTTATATTTCAGATGATGCAGATAGTTGCTCATTATATTGCATTGATTTTTTAAGACATAATGAGATACTTACAGGAAATATAAGAGGACATATGAAAGTCTGGGATTTAAGAAATGATCAAGATCTTCCTGCTACAACATTTATGCTTTCTGATCAAGCAAAAGTATGATTTGACTAAAAAATTATGTATATATTAGAATAAAAAAAAAGTTATTTACAGACGGAAGCTACAAGTATTGCTCATCATCCAACTCAAAGACATATTGTAGTGGCTGGTGGTGGTGATGGAAGTTTAACAGTTTGGGATTTAAGACATAATACATATCCAATGTCTCAACTCAATGCTCATGCAAAAGCTGTTAGTGAAATACTTTTTCATCCTGATAGACCAGAAAATTTGTTTACATGTTCAGGAAGTGGTGAATTATGGCATTGGAATAATGCTCAACATTCAAAGCTAAGTTTGGGTAAGTTTCATAAATAGTTTTATAAAAATATATTTTTTAAATTACTAACAAATTATCATTTTTTTTAGATCCTACAAATACACATTGGTTAAATACAATTGGTACAAATGGTAAAGTTAATGTAACTTCGCTTTATAGTGCTATGCATAAGCCAATAAATACTATTGATATTGATAAATCAACATTACTTTTTGGATGTGATAATGAAGCAATGTACATTATTAGAAATATATCTCTTTAATGATATAGCTAATTATATTTTTTCTAATTATAATAAATGAAAAAATAAATATCTTTTTTACCTTAAAACTATTTATTTTTTTAAAATAAAATTTTTTACCTTTATGTAAATTTGAAATTACCCGCGTTTAAACTACATTTCTTGTATATTATTTCATAGTTATTTTATGGTATCTGTAGCTCCATCTGTCGTTGTATTTTGTGATTACAATTACAGGAAGCTTTAGCCTGTTAGTTTGCCATTTTGTGACGCCTTGTGTAGAAGTTCGTAAACAGATTTTGCTTTGCTTGCCTGCGGAGGGACAAGAATTATGTCAAAACGGAGAATCGAGGTTGTGGATCCGTATATTAAACGGAAAGCGTGAGTTTTTGATTCTTTTTTATTTGTAAAAATTAAGATATTCAATAAGATATTTTACCATGTGCATTGTTATAAGTTTTTATAATTCTGGTACATCTCATTTAATAAATTTCATTTTTTGAAAATAATTTTTGTAAATGTTATTGTTCAGTTGAATTGTTCGATTATATGATAATAAAATTTTATGAAATTAATATTTTGAATTCATAAAACAATCATTTCTATTGCTGTTGACTTGTTTGGTCAACTCATCCACAAAGGTTCTCAACTAAATTTCTTTTTTTACAAATGAGAAATTTTTGAAAAAAAAAATAATATAAGAAAAATTTTAAAAATATAAAATTTATGGTTAATTATAAATATAAAGAAATTTTTAATTTAAAATTAATCATTTGTTTTTTATCTAATTGATTTTCATAACCAATGAAGTGTTCTCAACTCTCGTTACTTTACGATGTTATTATACATATATTATATTTTATTATTATAAATAAAACAATGTTTAAGTAATAAAATAAACTAATTTTATATATTTCATTGTTTATATATTATTTCGCAGAGATGGCTCAGCAGCATCCAATAGTACAACTACACCTTCAACAGCACCAAAAAATCAAGTTCAGATAAATCCTTATACTAGTCTACCTTATACACCAAGATATCATGAATTTTATAAAAAAAGAATCACTCTACCTGTATTTGAATACCGTGCTGATTTTATGAGATTATTAGCACAACATCAATGTATTGTACTTGTTGGAGAAACAGGCTCAGGTAAAACTACACAAATACCACAATGGTGTGTAGAATATTCAATGCGTATTGGCAACAAGGGTGTTGCTTGTACTCAGCCAAGAAGAGTAGCAGCTATGTCTGTTGCACAAAGAGTTTCGGAAGAGATGGATGTTGCATTAGGTATGTATTATTTTCTTTTAAGTTAAATAATATTTAAATAATATTTATTTTTTAAATCAAAAGTTAAGGCATTTATGTATATTTTCAATGGTAATTTTTTAAATAGGCCAAGAAGTAGGATACAGCATTCGTTTTGAAGATTGTAGTTCTCCAAAAACTATATTGAAATATATGACTGATGGTATGCTTTTACGTGAAGGCATGTCAGATCCTATGCTAGATGCTTATCAAGTGATATTATTAGATGAAGCTCATGAAAGAACTTTAGCCACAGACTTGCTTATGGGTGTGTTAAAAGAAGTGATTAAACAAAGACCAGATTTGAAACTTGTGATTATGAGTGCAACTTTAGATGCTGGAAAATTTCAACAGTATTTTGATAATGCACCTTTAATGAATGTACCTGGCAGAACTCATCCTGTTGAAATTTTTTATACACAAGAGCCTGAAAGAGATTACTTAGAGGCTGCTATCAGAACTGTTACTCAAATACATATGTGTGAAGAAGTAGTAGGAGACTTACTCTTATTTTTAACTGGTCAAGAAGAAATTGAAGAAGCTTGTAAAAGAATTAAACGAGAAATGGATAATTTAGGTCCAGAAGTAGGTGAACTCAAGTGTATACCACTCTATTCTACACTGCCTCCAAATCTTCAACAAAGAATCTTTGAACCAACACCACCTACAAAACCTAATGGTGCTATTGGTAGAAAAGTAGTAGTTTCGACTAATATCGCGGAAACATCATTAACCATCGATGGTGTTGTTTTTGTCATTGATCCTGGATTTGCAAAGCAAAAGGTATTAAATTATTCTCATCTTTTTGTATCATATCTTGTATCTTTTTGTGTATTTAATTAGTTTTATTGATTCATTATATTTTTTAACAGGTATATAATCCCAGAATCCGTGTAGAATCTCTTCTTGTATCACCTATTAGTAAAGCTTCTGCACAACAAAGAGCTGGTAGAGCTGGTCGAACAAGACCTGGAAAATGTTTTAGATTATATACAGAAAAGGCATATAAAAATGAAATGCAAGATAACACTTATCCTGAAATTTTAAGGTCTAATCTTGGTAGTGTTGTATTACAATTAAAAAAACTTGGCATTGATGACTTGGTATATTATATTTTTATGAAATCAATTTGTTATTTTATATTTATAAAATATTTTTTTCTATAATTTTTTTTTATTATACATATTTAGGTACATTTTGATTTTATGGATCCTCCTGCACCAGAAACACTTATGAGAGCTCTAGAACTTCTTAATTATTTGGCCGCTTTAGATGATGATGGAAATCTCACAGATTTGGGTGCTGTGATGGCAGAATTTCCATTAGATCCACAATTGGCAAAAATGCTCATCGCATCTTGCAATCATAATTGTAGTAATGAGATATTGAGCATTACTGCTATGTTGTCAGGTACAGTATTATTAAAAAATATTCTTTTTACAATACTTAGGTTCGTATTTTGTTTTGCGTTTAAATTAATTTTAATACGATAAAAGCGAAAGTTACTAAGTCAGGATCATGGTAAGGTAACGTGGTTTTAAATTGATGATTGATATTGTATTAGTCCCGCAGTGTTTTGTGAGGCCAAATGAATCAAAGAAAGCTGCGGATGATGCTAAAATGCGATTTGCACATATCGATGGAGACCACTTAACGTTATTGAATGTCTATCATGCCTTTAAGCAAAGTAAGTATTTTGTTAAAATTTATTATACATCTTTGTAATAATTTATTTTTTTTTCTTTATAGATTTCGAAGATCCACAATGGTGTTACGATAATTTCGTCAATTACCGATCTTTAAAAAGTGGTGATAATGTTAGACAACAACTAAGTAGAATAATGGATAGATTTTGTTTAAAACGTACTTCAACAGAATTCACATCAAAAGATTATTATATTAATATTAGAAAAGCTCTTGTAAACGGTTTTTTCATGCAGGTAAATATAATTGAAAGTAATATTTTCAAGAAGAATGTATCTAATATGTAATATTTTTTTTTTTCTTTTGTATACTAGGTTGCTCATTTAGAGAGGACTGGTCATTATTTAACTATTAAAGATAATCAAATTGTACAACTTCATCCAAGCAGTTGTTTAGATCATAAACCTGAATGGGTAATTTATAATGAATTTGTGCTTACGACCAAAAATTATATCAGAACAGTTACAGATATTAAACGTAAGTCATATTTTTATTATTGAATAATATAAAAGAAATTTGTTTATTATATATACTATAAATATTATATTTTTTACAGCTGATTGGTTGCTTAAAATAGCACCACAATATTATGATTTACAAAATTTCCCACAATGTGAAGCAAAGAGGCAATTGGAAGTAATTCAAGCAAAATTAGATTCAAAACAGTATCAGGAAGGATTCTAACCTCTATATATTTTAGCTATCTTTATAAATGGTGTCAAATGATTAATAATGTGTGACCTGTTTCATCAGGCACACTATTCTCACAAACATAAAGTCAAAACAATATATTAAACATTGTGAAATGATCAAAGGAGTAGTTGTCTGCTCTGTATTTTCACTTAAAATATGTAAAAAAAAGACAAATTTTAATGAACATTTATAATTTTGTACAAGCTATAATGAAACTTGTACATCTTTTTGGCTTATGCCGAAAAAATTTGAATGTTTGTAGACATCGTTTTGTCTTAATATGAAACAAATGAAATTCGATCTTTAATCAGTTAGAAGACACGTGGAAGGCATAGTTGATTGATAAATGATTTATTTATGTACATTAAAGAAAAATTTAGTAACTAAGTAATTTTATCAGTAGAATTTTTGTTGATCAACGTTTGCACACTCGGAATGTAATATTAGATAAAAAAATAGATTAATTTTTTTATTAAATGTTGAACAAATACGCCAGATAAGATGTATACAATGCTTACTATCGATAATCGAAGGACAATGACCTTACATAACCTTCAACATGAATTATATCTGTTTGCCGTTTTTTTCTTAAAATCAAGTAGTATTGTTTTTGTGTTATATATTTCACTTTCTAAGTACACATACAAAAACATTACATATTTATTATAATTTTACATTTTAATTATGATTAAAATGTGCAAATATCTTATTTTACGCTATGTTTTTTTGTTTATAATCAATATGACTATATTATGATAATTTACTTGAAAATAGATAAAAAGATACTTTCAATTTCCAATCATAAAAAAAAAAAAAATAAAAAATAAAACTACAACTTTAAATAACATGAAAAATATTTTGAGAAATCTATGTAAGTTTGAAAAATTAAATTGTTCTTATTTATAACTGCTAATACAATATATATTGCAAACCATTATCACTGTAAGAAATTAACAACTTACAGTATTACAAATTATCTCTACGAGACGTAAAAGCAATTAAGCTTATTATTCAAATAATAAATTTTTAATGCTATGCGGTTTAGAATATCACGTGTTAAAGGATGAAAAAAAATTTTTTAGCTTGTTTTAGAATTGAATTATTTTCTAAACATTTTGCTGTTTGAAATCTCGTACTTCTTTAACATGTTGAATAATAGTTTCAATTTTTGTAAATAAAACATATGCAAGTATTAAAAGAACTTATAGAATCACGAGAGTTACGGTCACAAACAGTTTTCATTGTATTGTACAACTTCATTCCAATAAAATATTAAAAATATGATTAAATTGTAATAATTGTTAATGAAAATGAATTTAATTTATAATCTTAAAATTTACACGAACTTTTTAAATGAGTATAATTAGAAAATTGATATATAATATCATGTTTTACGTAATATATCGAAATATATGATGGTTAAAATTTCTTATCGCGATTCTTATGTTGCAAGAGATGTTTGAGAACCACTGAGAATGCACGAGGATCGCTGTATTTCATCATTCACCAATTTTTATGAAATTAAGAACTATGGCATCATTTGTGGTACCGGTTGCAACGAGATTTACTCGTGTCACGATTGATAGTTTGCACAATATAAATAAAAATATTTTACTTAGGTAAGATTCTATATTTCGTAGTTTATTATATTGTTAAAATATGTAACTTGTATTTATATTGCAAGGTACATCTAGAGGTTAGAATGTTAAATAATGTTTATTTATTATTTTATTATCGTAGTAATTTTTTAAATAAAATTGTAATATATTTAATAAAGATGATTATATTTTCAAAATTGTTAAAGATTTAAATAAAACCTTATGTAGTTATTTGTACATATTCTTAATATAAGTTTTTAATAATTCTCTAAAATAACAAATATTATTAAATAAATAATAAAAATATTAATTTTTTTTTATTTATTTTTTAAAGAAAAGAAAAAACATAATGTCTTACAAATTTTTTTTGATGATTTAAAGGTTAATTCAACCATCACATGTTTCTTGGCAAAGACAAGAGTATAGTACAATTACAGAAGAACAGAAGTCAGAAAGTGGAGAACCAGTATTGGAACTTACAGAAAATGAAAGGAAATTAAAAGCAGACATTGAACTTATTAATAAAGAATTAATGGATCTTAAAAATCATAAAAATGAATTAGAAGACAAATATAAAAGAGCACTTGCTGATGGAGAAAATCTTAGAGTTAGATTAAACAAACAAATTCAAGATGCAAAAATGTTTGGTATTCAAGGTTTTTGTAAGGATCTCTTAGAAGTAGCAGACATTTTAGGCAAAGCTACAGAAAGTGTACCTAAAAATGAACTCACAGAAAAAAATCCACATTTAAAAACATTATATGAAGGTTTAAAAATGACAGAAGCACAGTTACATAAAGTAATTAAAAAAAATATGATTCAACTATTTTTATAATTTTCAATAACAAATTTATTAAAACATTATTATATTTATTACTTTAAAATATGTTTATATAGGTATTTAAAAAACATGGTTTAATTTCGTTAAATCCACTGAATGAAAAGTTTGATCCTAATCAACATGAAGCATTATTTCAACAGGTAAATTTCTTCTTTTTTATTTATATGAACAATAATGTATTAAATAAATAACAATAATAATAAGAAACATATTTTGACATAGGAAGTTGAAGGTAAAGAACCAGGAACAATTGTAGTTGTATCTAAATTGGGTTATAAATTACATGAACGAGTAGTAAGACCAGCATTGGTTGGTGTTGCAAAAGGATAATTCATGGTTATGTCAATTAAAATGAGATTAAATGCAATCTCATAAAAGGTACCCGTGAATGAAATATTGGCAAATATATATTGTAATTAAAATTGAAATGTAATACATCAAAGTATGAATGTCATACAATTGATAGAAAAAAAAAAAAAAAAGAACAAATTTTATGAAAAATAAATTTATTCTTTATTAGGTTTAAAAATATATATAATATACATACAAATTTTTATGTTTCTTTAATTAACATAAATAGATTTATATGTAATGAAACAAATCGTTTTTTTGTCATACCATATTTTTTATTTATTACATTCCATTAAAATAATATAAAAAAATAATATTTACTTCAATATAGAATTTATTACAAAATTCGTAAAAATAAATAAATAAATCATAGAGTCAATGTAAGATGTACTATGATTTTTTAATACTGTGATTCATATTATAATTTTAATTAATTAATTATTAAAGTAGAAAATTTTTTTTGTGAAAAATCAATTCTATCTTAAAAATTTAACATCTTTCAAAAACTTTATATAATTCAGGTAAACTAGCTATTTGTAATATTGTTGAATCATGTGCAAAATGTTTGGGAGGAAGAAAACTTTCCTTAATTGTAGAATATAAAACATGTTCTGTAATATACTTCCAATCATGAGTATCATGTATGGGACTAATTTGACTATAATATTTTGCTGTTTCTCTACAAATATTTCGGAAACATGGTTGTTCTGTTGACCATTCTACTTCGGTAGCTAGACGTAATATATAAAGAGGAAGACCTTCTATACTTGGAAAATATTTTTCTGAAAGAATAACATAATTTTGTATTACATTTTAACTATGAATAGTTTATTAAAATATATTTACCTAATAATACTGGTAAAGATTTTAAATTTCCCTTTTTATCTATAACAATAGAAAAGTATTCTTTTAACATATCTGCCTTTTCCAATAATAATTCTTTAACACTAGTAGCTAATTCTTCTTTTGGCCCATCTTCTTCTGTCCACCCAGCTTCTTTAGTATCTAATCCTAACATAGCTAAATCATATAAAGGAAGTGCTTCCTGTAAAAAACATATGTATATGTATGTAATGATAATATTATTTATCTGCATAAATACATACCGAAAATTTAATGACTGCATAATTTGCAAAATCATAGAGCATAATTTCATAAAAATGTTCTTCCCTAAATAAAAAGAAATATAATTCAATTTTTTATATATATTATAAAATTTTATGAAAAAAAATTGATGCTCACGCTAATTTTTGTGTATTGCAAAGATACAAATTAACTCCGCTTTGAATTAAAGCAGAAGACTGATCTATACAGCCAACAAAAGTTAATTCTGATAAAATTTGTTTCAGACCTTCATGGCATGCATCTTCTACTTCTTTTCGTAATTTTAAAACGCTCGTTAATTTTACTTCTCTTCTAAAATTATTTATTGAATAAGATTTAAATTCATATGAACATTTATTATCATTATTTTTATCATTATCATTATTAATTTCTCTTGATGTTTGTTCAACATTTTGTATTTCATTGAGTTGTTTATTTTCTTCAGGTTCGTAATTTTTTATTTCTTGTTTACTTATATCATTTTTATCTATTATTTTTTTTTCTTCTGATTTAGTGCTCTTATTTCCAAAACATTTATATACTTGTTTACGAGCTTTATCTGCAATAACATCGATACATTTATCTTTTATAGAATCTGCTGTATCTTCATCTATTTCATCATTTGTAATTTCTAAAATATCTTGCATACTATTTAATTTTTCTTCTTCTTTTTTGTTAATATTCTGAATACATAAATTTATATTAGGTTCATCAGATGTTAGCAAATCTGATGTAGATGAACTTGTATTATTTATGATATTACTCCATGGACTATTAGATTTTTCTGTTGCCACTGTTGTTGTAATGTGCATTGATTTATCTTTTTGTTGTATATCAATTAGATTTGGTGTTAAGCATTGTATTTTATCTGTATTTTTTTCATTATCTACAACATGTGTTGATTTATCTTTTTGTTGTATATTTATTATATCTGATGTTAAGCATTGTATTTTATCTATATTTTCTTCATCAATATTTTCTTCAATACTATTTTGAGTTTTTGTATTCAAATGAGTTTCATGAGTGTCATCATTTTTAACATATTTCATTTCTGTATGAATCATAAAATTAAATTTATCCAGTTTTTGATCAGAAGCATCAGTTCTGATCATTTCTTGAGGACGAATTTTTTTTATTTTGTTACTATTATCTTCTTCATATTCTGGTAAAATTTCTTTCAAAACGTCTTTAGTAATATCTACTTTTGGTAGCCGAGTTTTTAAGTAAAATGTTCTAGAAGCACTATTTGCAGATAATTTTTCATCTAAAGCGAGTTTCATTCTTTCAATGATAGAATTTTCATGAAGAAATTTAACTTCATGTTTCGTCGGATGTATATTAACATCGATATTTCGTGATTCAATTTCTAAAGATATATAACACCATGGATGAGTCTTTTTTGGAAGATAAAATGTATAAAGTTCTTCTAACATTTTTTGAATAGCTGAAATAGAATATCTGTATAATATAATTTTATAACTAAAACTAAATTTTTTATTCTAATATTTCAAAACTTACAAGAAGATTTTACTAATCTGTTATTAATGAATAAGAGAAATGTCATCTTTTTGTTTGTATAATTTGCATTTGTTATTAAAGCATGCATTTTAAATTTATAAGTATCATCTTTAAATTCTATTTCTAATAATTCACGAAATACAGGATTACCATAGAGTATTCGTATATTATTCATTTTAGTTGAATTATGTGGTGTACGAATCTAAATGTTAAAAACATTTATGAATAAATGAATAAATGAATAAAAATATTTAAAATTATAAAATTTTATATGTGATAAAATACCTGAGGTGCTATTTCACCATGTTTTTTTAATACAAATCCTACATCTGCATTATGAATTGCATATTTTGTAACTACATCTGTAATTCTATTAAATTCTTCATTTGGATTTGACAAAGCCTTTCTTCTTGTTGCAACATTATAAAACAAATTTTCAATTACTATAGTAGTGCCTTGATTTCCAGCACATGATTTAAGTGGTGCTTTTAATTTACTATCAACATATGATGCCCTTAAATGAACAAAAAGAATATTTTCAAAAAAATTGCTAAAATTTGTGAAAAATTTTATATATTTAAACATACTTATAAGCACATTTTTCATCTGCTGTTTTTGTTGTTATTGTTAAAAGTGATATATGACTAATGCTTGCTAAAGCTTCACCACGAAATCCAAAAGTTGATATTGTTTGAAGATCTTCAAATGTTTGTAATTTACTAGTTGTAAATCTTTCACAAACAATTTCCATATCTTCTTTTCTGATTCCTGTTCCATTGTCTTGAATCTGGGTTTAATAACATTATATTAAATTATAAATAAACATTATAAATAAATATTAAATTATAATAATTATTTTTTAATTTAAATAGAGAAAGAAAATACCTGTAATAACTTTAATCCACCTTCTTTAGCAATGATCTGTATATTATTTGCTTTTGCATCAAGACTGAAACATTTGAAGCAAGTTAATAATGAAAAAATATATATAACAATCATATGATTTTTAGATATCTAACCTGTTTTCAATTAGTTCTTTTAATGCATTTGCTGGTCTCTGTATTACTTCACCAGCTGCAATTCTATTTACTACAACTTCATCTAATTTCTTAATTTTTCCAGATGAATTCATTTCATTAATATGGTTTTCAGATTTTGATCGAAATATCGAGAAATGAGTCAAATATTAAATTAGATTAAATTATAATATGTATAGTAATTATAATGTATATGATGTAAAATAATTACATTTATAATAAAGAAAAAAAAATGAAAATAAAAGTTCTAATTTTAATAAGCATGAATTGTTTTCTTTTAAGATAAAAATATAGTGTATACAAATTCTTTAATTTTATTTCGCGCCAAATATTTGAATTAAAGTTAATAAATATGTCAACTTCAAAAAAATCATTTACAATACTAATATGCAGAGAGATATTTTTTAATACATTATTAATCTTTTTATAAAATACCAAGAATAAATAAACAATTATTTATAATAAAAATACAAAAAATATACATATTAGTGATTTTTTATTATTACTTTTGATTATTATTATTATGTACCTAAAGTTATTTTTGTATAGTATTATTCTAGTGTATGTAGTCATATATGTAGTTATTAACATATTTAGTAACAGTCAATCTTATGTGATGTAATAGTAAAGCAATAATATCGTTTCACTGACATAATTAAATTATTTTTAAATTAAAATATATATTCAAAGAAAGATATATAAATTGTTACATAAATATAATATGTTTTTGAAAATTTATTTTTACTACAATTATCGAATTGTTCTAGATTAAATATATATAATCATATTTTAAAAACTATTAATTTTATTTAATTTATTAATTTTTATTTAATTTAATAAAGTTTGTTATTTGAAAATAATATAGTATTTAAATATGTATATGCATAAATGATTAGTAATATTTTTAATATTTTAAATATATTTATCTAATTTAATTATCTAACAATTTGATATAAATTTTTATATCTATGATCAAGTACAAATTTTATATTAATATAATATTTTAATAATTTTTATTGTTGATTTTTTAAAAGGAAAATCAAAAGAAATATAATTTATATTTATAATTATAGTAATATCCTTCATTATAATATATAAAATATTTTTATATATACAGTATATTTGTATATAAATGTTCAAACTTAAATTTTTGGAAATCAATTAAATATATATATTATATAATATATAAATAAAAAATATATATATAATATATATATATATAAAATATATATATTATATATATAATATAATATAATATATATATATAATATATATAATATAAATATAAATATATATATAAATCATTTGTATTTTTCCATATCTTTGATGTTATCGATGTGTATAATTATAACTATTTAAGTTTTACAAATAAACAAGAAAATATTTAGCATGCTAAATATAACCGCGATCTTAAACGTAATATATTCCAGCATTTTCTCGTATTTCTACCATCATATTTCTCTCTCTTTTTGTCGGTAAGTTATACCTCATTCTGATATATTTATCCTTGTTCTAGATGCATCGAAACTTCTGAGCCAATAAGAATATGTGTTTGAATCAACGAAATGCCGTGATTGGTCATCTACAGAAACTTCTCGAAGCGCGAGGTTTGGTGTATTAAAAGACCCCCGCGCGTATCACACTCAGACAGAGTTTGGAAAGCGAGAAGTGAACATTACGTTTACGTATTACGTAATTTATTACATTGCGATTTATTCTGTGATATATACGAAACAAACGATAGAAAAGGTAAGTAATTTGAATACATCATGATAGCATGTTTATAATTTACTTATTGAGTAATTTTTTATTATGTTTAAGTGCGTAAATATACTATGAAAAGACTAACGATACAAACATCATGAAGTTGCATCATATTGATAAAATATTGACAGATTTCGAGTTTGATTTTTTTTTTTTATTTAAAAATGATCCTTTGAAAGTTTTACCGTTGGATTTTAAGAACTGAGATTTGAATCGGATTCCACATTTATCGATAAATTTCGAGTTTTCATAAACTTGTCAATTACTATTAACTTGAAGCAAAACTTAACAGTGTGATTTAAATTGGTTATAAATAGTACATACAATTATAGACAAATTTATAATGTATATCATCTTTCTTATTGCGTTTTATTATTCAATATCATTTTTTGAATATAAGTTTTAAATTACAATAAATTACGAATAAGTTTTAAATAATAGATTAAATTTTTTAGAATATTTATGATAAATGATTAATATGATGTGATTTGTCTCCTACATCATATTAATTTGGACGTACTATGCGAACAAAAAAAAAATAGTTAAATATCGAATATTAGAAGACAAACTAAATAAAATTAATTTTTTATATATTTTTATATATTTTATATATTTTTTATATATATTTTTTAGTCACGTATTTATAAATTATATTTTTTTTTTCAGCGATAAAACATGTCGAAGGCTCCAGCAGTTGGAATTGATTTAGGCACTACTTATTCTTGCGTGGGTGTTTTCCAGCATGGAAAAGTTGAAATCATTGCAAATGATCAAGGAAATCGAACGACACCGAGTTATGTCGCCTTCACGGACACAGAAAGATTGATTGGCGACGCGGCCAAAAATCAGGTCGCAATGAACCCAAACAACACTATTTTTGGTAAGTAAAAGCCAAATTTAATAATTCAATTTATTTTTCACTTTTCATTTCATATATTATTTTTTATTTTATTGTAATATCAGTATTATTATATTTTAATTATCAATTATAAAAAAAAATATAAATGATTAAAATATAATAAAATATTTTTTTATAAAATATTTTTAAAATGTTTGAAATAAATATGTATTGCAATTTGCAAATATTATATAATAAGAAAATTACATACTTCATTATATCGATCTTTTTGTGTGATCTTTTTTTCTTCGCGAAACTTCGTATTGATATCATACTTCTCTATATGTAGATGTTTGTTATGTTTACACATAGACTAAAGAATAGTAACTCATAATGTTGAATTTTATTACTGATCTCGTAAAATTTTATTTTTTTGCTTCATTTATAAAAATGTGATACTTTGCGCATTACACCAATTTCATAATATGTTATTATTTAATATTTTTTTTTAGTTACAGTTTTCTCTGATATATATATTTATTTTTTATTTTTATAAAATATTTTATATTTTTTTATACCTGTTTGAAAATAATGTAATGAGAATGTTGAAGCGTAAAAGATATTAATAAAAACAATATAATTATACATTCTTTCATTAATTTATTCATATTTTTTATTTTTAATAATTTTTCTTTTTATATATTTAAATTGTTATTTAAATTAAATTTGTAAATTATGATATGTTTTATTAAACAGATGCGAAAAGATTGATCGGTCGTCGCTTCGATGATACAACAGTACAAAGTGATATGAAACATTGGCCATTCACGGTGATGAACGATGGAGGAAAACCTAAGATCAAGGTTTCGTATAAAGGTGAAACGAAGACTTTCTTCCCCGAAGAGGTATCTTCGATGGTTCTCACGAAAATGAAAGAAACTGCAGAAGCCTACTTAGGAAAAATAGTTACCAATGCTGTTATTACCGTCCCCGCATATTTCAATGATTCACAAAGACAAGCTACCAAAGATGCGGGAGCAATAGCAGGCTTAAACGTTTTAAGAATAATTAATGAACCAACCGCGGCGGCGATTGCTTATGGCTTAGATAAAAAAACTGCAGGTGAAAAGAATGTATTGATCTTTGACTTGGGAGGTGGCACCTTTGATGTGTCCATATTGACCATCGAAGATGGCATCTTTGAAGTGAAGTCAACAGCAGGCGATACTCATCTTGGTGGTGAAGACTTCGATAATCGGATGGTGAATCACTTCGTCCAGGAGTTCAAGAGAAAATACAAGAAAGATTTAAGTTCGAATAAGAGGGCTCTTAGACGATTGAGGACCGCTTGTGAGAGAGCAAAGAGAACTTTAAGCTCTTCAACACAAGCTAGCATCGAAATCGATTCTCTTTTCGAGGGCATTGATTTCTACACATCGATTACCAGAGCCAGATTTGAAGAACTTTGCGCGGATTTATTTAGAAGCACATTGGAACCAGTTGAAAAGGCTTTGAGAGATGCCAAGATGGACAAAGCTCATGTTCATAGTATCGTTTTAGTCGGTGGTTCTACTAGAATACCAAAGATTCAAAAATTACTACAGGACTTTTTTAATGGAAAAGAATTGAACAAATCGATCAATCCTGATGAAGCTGTTGCTTATGGCGCAGCTGTACAGGCCGCTATTTTGCATGGTGACAAATCTCAAGAAGTTCAGGATCTATTGCTATTGGATGTCACTCCATTATCTTTGGGTATAGAAACAGCTGGTGGTGTGATGACAACTTTGATCAAGAGGAACACGACGATACCAACCAAGCAAACACAAACTTTCACTACTTATTCCGATAATCAACCTGGCGTCTTGATTCAAGTATACGAAGGAGAGAGAGCTATGACAAAAGATAATAATATTCTTGGAAAGTTTGAACTTACTGGCATTCCACCTGCACCTAGAGGTGTACCTCAAATTGAGGTCACATTTGATATCGATGCTAATGGTATGTGCATTATCTTTTTTCAATACAATATTTCTTTATAAAATATCTTCAATATATTCATTAATAAATTAATAATTTTCCTTTCTGAAATTATAGGTATTCTGAATGTATCTGCAATTGAAAAGTCAACCGGAAAGGAGAACAAGATCACCATCACAAATGATAAAGGCCGATTGTCAAAAGAAGATATCGAGAGAATGGTGAACGAAGCAGAAAGATATCGTAATGAAGATGAACAACAACGTGAAAGAATAACTGCCAAAAATGCATTAGAATCTTATTGTTTCAATATGAAGAGTACAATGGAAGATGAAAAGATCAAAGATAAGATCGATTCAATGGAAAAAGAAAAGGTGATCAATAAGTGTAACGAAGTGATTTCATGGTTGGATGCAAATCAATTGGCAGAGAAGGAAGAATTCGCCGATAAGCAGAAAGAACTGGAATCCGTTTGCAATCCTGTTGTCACTAAATTATATCAGGGAGGAGCTACACCTGGAGGGTTCCATCCAGGTGCTGCTACAGGAGGCGGTGGTGCTGGAGGACCAACCATCGAAGAAGTAGACTAAAAAAACAAGAAATCATCCATAACATTAAATATCTTTTTCGTTTCATTGTATTTATTTCAACTCAAACTTTGCACAGTCATGATCATCGATTTTCATATTTGTTTACATTGATAATGCATATTTTTTGAGATCAGAGACTTTATTTCCTGCAAGAAAGAGATTTTATTTCTTGTATTTAAAAAGATTGGTAATATAAATTTGTTATAAAAAAAAATCACTACGTTTAAATATTTATTTCTATATTGTGTCTATTAATTTTTTAAATCGATTTATCAATGTTTTTTGTTTTTGATATTTAATAATTTTCTGATTTGTAAAATTGAACCAGAATGATTAAATACGTGATAATAATACTGATAAACTAAAAATTATATAATACGAAAAATTTACAATATGCAAATTTACAATATACTTATTAATTGGATATTATAATACTTACTCCGGTTACTAAAGAATTATTCATTTCAAAGAAATTGCACGCGGTAAATATAATTCTATATTATTATATATTATCATAATTCTAACATTGATCTCATTGATCTCATTTCGCACGTTCAAAATTGGATCTTAGAAGACTTTACATTCCGAATGTATTCAAATTCAAAATGGCATTATTATCACATTCATTGTTACAAATTTCTAATTCTTGTGATTCTTTATTACGAAAATTTTTGAAGAAAATTTTCTATTTTGTTAAATTTAGTCGAATATTAGATATTCAGTACAAATTCGCTGACGTGTAATCCAATTTTATTTATCTCTCGATGGATCAGCATACATACCCAACACATTAAAGTGAACTGGCATAAATTATCCAAATCACGTTATTCAGGAATATAAAACCATTTTTCTGCTCTGCGGCATATAGATTCTCATATAGATTCTGAACAGCTTCGAGATCACCATTATAAAAGAATTTGTAGAACATAACAATAGACCATAAATATCATTTACTATTATTACTACAGAACATAATTCTACAAAAATCAATGAGATAATGCATAAATGATGTTATGCGTCATTTTTAATAATAGCATTTTAATAATAGAACGAGGGACGGAAATAAATTTCTTTTTTTAAAATAAAAGATGAAATCTTCAAAATGAGGTAAGCTCTATCCAATTTACGTCATTTTAAATACATATGCCAGGAATTAAGGCTAATCGGTTACGTGCCATTGTGCAGTCTCCTAATTCTCCTGGATTTTCAAAGCAATCCAACAGATCGTTACTTTTTCATCCAACTGTTTGATCTTGATTGCTCTAAATCTGTGGCATATTATATATGCAACAATATCGAACACGAAACTGTTTATTAAAATTTGCGGATCGGATGCAAAAATTTGATCATGTGCGGTGAAATAATAATAAAGAATGCGAAGGATCAACGATATTGGACCGCATAATATGATTATAAGAATGACCAAGATTTGACTCATCTTTACGTATCCATCTTCGATCAATTCTTTGGCGACATTCTTATCCAACGATTCCAATGGATTCTTCATCCATTTGTCATAATATCTTACTACATGGTAAACGTAATATTAATATTGTGCAAGATGATACACGGTCTCGTTCATGAAATATATGATTTTGAACAATTCATTGATGAATTTCTCGCTGAAATTGGCGAAATCCATTGCGCTAAATACGACGATCGCCGAGCAAACGCTGAAGTGAATCATTCGAGAGATGATCCATTTTGAACAATTGTTCGGTCGTACAACTTTAACATCTAACAACCAAGAAACATACATTATCGGACGATTTTGGAATCGATGGATCTTCTATTCGAACGTTTATCTCTTCCTCCATGATGATTTATTCTTCCAAAGATGAACAGAACAGTCTCGATTCCGTTTGAAAGTTTCCTCGAGACGAGATAGCAAACTTTAACTCGAAAGCAAAGAAAAATACACTGAATTCTTGATCCGAGGATCCGCGTCCCATATATTCTTCGTTTAATAAACACAGATTGAAGAAGTTCATATCGCGTTCATATCGGAATTCAAGAAAAGTTGGGGAAGATTTATGCATGGCAACACCACCAAGGCACTTTCATTTTTTTGATGGAAGTAGAATAGGCATGAAATTAATCGCACGAAAGGACACGAATGGGACAGAGGGTCCCAATCATTTGTTCCGTGATATGTGTGTATATATCGAAAAAACGAGCTTTATTTGCCCAACGACTATATTACAATTTTATTATACAGTAAACATTTAAAATGGAATAAAACGATAACTTTGAACATCGACCGTCTTTTTTTTTTTTTTTCTTTTCTTTTTCTTTTCGTTTCTTCGGTTTTTAGAAATCAGGCGGCGGGTCGAGTTGAATCATCTTGCAATAATAATAATAATAATAATAATAATAATAATAATAATAATAATAATAATAATAATAATAATGATAATAATAATGATAATAATAATATGCGGGTCGTGGCGAATTAAATCTGTTTCGTGTGTTATTATTAACAGCGATTGGCATTCGTTCGAACACGATCGATTCGATAAATTGGGTGTGTGCAATCGTCGCCAAGTCGTGCGTGTTTTATGTCCCATTTTTTTTTTAAATTTCTTTTTTATTGTTTTTTTTTTTTTTGCGGGTGAGGATTCCGTGTATCGTGTGTGTCTGTGTGTAACAATGAGTTATTTCGTTTGCGCGAGGATTTACGTAAATGTAGAATCGTGTAGCCCCAAGAACGATCTTAAGACTCTCTCGTTTCTACATCTTTTTTTTTCCTCTTCACTTTTTTGTATTCTTTTTTTTTTCTTTTTTACTGGTTTTTTCTTCTTTTTAGATTTATTTAGTCATTTATTTGATCGGGAAAGGCAGCGTAATTATTCGAACACGAGATGTCGATATACGTTTTTCTCATATTTTTTTTTTTTTTTTTTTTTTAAATTACTTCCTATTTCTTGCGACAGGGGGACGTCTTCATTTTTTTTTTTTTTTTTTCTCTCTTCGGTGAAAATGCAACACAACCCCTCGTGCATGTTCGCTTTCTTACGTATATACATGTATATATAGAATATGTATATATAGAATATATATATAATTTTAACGATTTTTTTTATCTCTACTAATTTACAATTGGCGAGCCGAGCGACTCGGAAAAATCATATGCATCGATGCAACGAGACGGTTTTCATTGGCATTTATGAAACGAGCATTAAAATTTATTAATTATTTATAATAGAAAAAAAGAAAGATAAAGAATTAATTTTCTTTATTTTTCACTTGTTTCTTCTATCGCAAGAAATAAAATTTATTCTTTTCCCACGTTTCGTGATTACGTATACCATAAAATAACGGCATCATCGTAGATCGTTCAACGAAATATTTTATTACTTAATTTTCACGATGTACCTCGAACGAGTTCCTCCATTCGAGATAAATAATTTCGTACCTCTGTCAAGTATATATATTCGGGAAAAAATGAATTTTTCTTTATTTCAATCTCGATAATTGTGTTTTTCATTGAATTTTTTTTGGTCAATGTGTGTTTGTTCGAAGAAAATTAGTGAAACCGCCCGTGCTTCACGCAGTTTCGGTCGCAGAAAAGCGAGATAACGAGATCGCAATAGTCGTAGCACAATTTTTTTTTTTTTTTTTAAATATTTTTTAGCGTTTTGTTATACAATTCTTGCTGGTGCCACATCTTGGTTTCGTCCAAGCACCAGCCCGATATTTTTTCACTTTTTTCCATTTGGTTCTCACAGAGTAGTCTACCTAAGATTAGAGGTATGTTTAGCCTCGACCCACTCGAGAATGCCCTGCCAATTGCATTTTGTCGCAGAAAATTCCGTTCAAGCAAACGAAATGATCGATATTTTCACGTGAAACTAAATATTTTTGAATTTGTGTGCATGTGCATGTGTGTGTGTTTTTTTTGTGATTTTTAAATACACGTGTAAATGGATAAACTTTTAAAGATAAACATTGACAAATGCAATTTTGCTTTTTTTTTTTTTCTTTCCTATCGAATTCTGCTACGCGGATTTGAGTGTGTGAATAATTATAGAAATATTGGTATAATTATTTTTCCATTTGTTTCTTAATATCTCGAGCGATATTTTTAAAATTTGAATCAATTTTGTTTCGTTCAATTGATATGTGTTTAAGTAGATAAGATTTAAGTAAGAAGATAATAAATGCGAAAGGAAGAAATGTGAATTTGTAAAATTTGATAGATAAAATCTTTGTTCGATATTTCGTAAAACAATTATTGATATGTAAGTAAATCGTAATCGTGGTACAATCGAGCATTCAAAAATATTAATTCGAATCTTGATCTTTATCTTGTGTTCAATCAATTGTATTTATTCTCGACAATTTGTCCGTGAATTTTAAATAAAAAAAATTCTATCGTTGAATCAATAATTTTAATCGAAAATACTTAAAAAAATCATTATTTGGGATACCAAATCTTTCTTCTTTCCCTTACCCGTAAAGCGATCGAAATTCGGGACTGATTCGAGTTATCGAAAAAAATCTTGCACTTCATCCTTTCCGTATTTTTTTCTTCCAATAAGAAAAACAAGTTCAAAAATTCGATCAAATTAATATATCCCATTTATATTTTCAAATTCGAAATTATACGTATATCTGAGCTTACAATAATAATCACGGACAAGGAATATTTCGCTGCTGGACCAGAATTCTCGCGAAATCTCTACCTACATCTTTTCAAGCATCCAACACGTACCACCCCTATGTTCAGGTACTACTTCATATACCCTCATCTACGTTCAGGTACATTCCTGAATATTACGTATTCTAGAGTTGAACGATCTTAACTGGTTTTCGATCTTATCAATTTTTTTATTACTGAAAGCTGTACCTTTCGTACCTAGGTAATAAAAACATATCATTTTTAGAATAAATTCTAGGCCTTCGCGCGTGGCTCAAGCAAAAACTTCAACTTTAACAACTCTGCATACCTCCTTTGTACCCATTGTGTATCTACAATTTCTTTTTTATTCGTTCAAAAAAAGCACCGTGTCCGTGACAGAGCATTTTTTTTTTTTTCCCCCCCCTTTGCACGTGGACATTCGCGTTTTATATTTTAACCGTTCGCTTCTAATTAACCGTTCACCTCCATTTTCATTTATTTCTTACTCGAGACATTTTCTTTGTTTCTTTCTTTTTTTTTTTTTTTTCTTTTTTTTTTTTTTAGCTTTATTACGGAACTGTGCTGCTACGTAATTCGTGTAATGAAAATTCCTCGTCCCTTCGCACTAGGCTTGTACCGTTCGATTCGAGTCACGTGAGTTATTATATTAGTTCATCGATAATTATGTCCTTAACTACACTTGAAAAATGTCACCGGTGGCACGGGGCGCGATGTTCGTTTCGAAGATGGACGTTGTCGAGGTTGTGACGGGAGCCATTTCACCGAATCTGCTCGCGTTTATGTTGGTTGTCGTTACGGCCGTTGTTTTCATCGACGTTTCTTCGGTCATCTCCGATGTCGTCGGCACCTGCTGATGTGTCCAAAGATTTCAATTTAGAATTCATAATTAATTCGTTGAGTTAAACAAATTGTAGCTTGTGCACATAGATCGATAGATGTTAACTTTTCTAAATCTTAAAAATTCCATCCATCCATCCATCCACAATTACGCGTAATTGCAATTCTTCAAATCTGCAAAAGGACACAACGAACGATGTCGAATCGAAATCGAGAAAGCAAAACCATCTTTTTTATAGTTGTAACGAAGTTTACAAGTTTTTTTTAATTCCAATCTAAATCGGTCTTCGTAACAATTTAACGAATTATTTCGAGTTGAAACAAGGAAGAAAAAAAAGAAAGAAGAGAAGAAATCGTATACAATGTACCTCGTTATAAAACACTTCCTTTCCCTCCTCCACGGAAGGCAACAGCTCGTCCATGGAATGAGGCGTTCTAGGGCTAGGCGTAGGCGCGATCTGTTGCTGCTGCTCTCGCTGCTGTTGCTCCCGTTGTTTCGCCAGTCTCAACTCCTGCAAAGCTTGCCTCTGCTCCTTCTCGTTCCTCTCTTTCTCGAGCCGTCTCGCGCTGTAACTTCGTGCCGAGGACGTCGAACTGTGAACCGACGTTAAACTAGGGCGACGTGAACCTATCGGGGCGAAAACAAGGGTAACAATTTAATTCGTGGAACGAATTCGAGGGCGCGCTACCCTCGCCCCAATTCCCAATTCCGCTACGCTAAGAGTCAATTAGCTAGGCTTGGAGATCAATCAGAAATATTAAATCTAATTGCAACTGCTCTCGGCTAAATACCAGCTTAACTCTCGGTCATTTGCGAAAACGTTTCCTCTATCGATAACCGGAGCAACGAGCGTACGCAGTTACCGATGCTGGCCGTTCAAATCCAACCAGATCCCTCGTTCACTAGCTAATTCTTCGTGGATGGAGATACGCAAGCTCGATGATCGCATCGGGAGGATCACGGGAGAATATAATAAAGGCGTTTGACATGATCATTTTCGAGAAAGCCGATGAGAGGTAGATTTCAATTCAAGGAGAAACTTCACGTAAAGTTAAATAGAATTTATAAATTGGGATTAAAAAAAATATATATATATATATATAGAAAAAGATTGTTGTTGAATAGAGAGGTTCGAAGAGGATCGAAAGGGTGCAAAGTGTATAATAAACGTGTTCGAATAATCGATTATATATATTTATAGTATAACGTGGACGTTTGAAGTTCGGTGTTCGCGAGTGACTGTGCAGATTCGTGTTATCAGCGAGCATCGCATCGTGTTGTGTAATACAGGAAGAATGACAGAAGCGGTTCTCTTCAGCGCGAAGCAAGCAGTACACGAAAGCGAACGCTCATCGAACGATCTCGCTTTCTCCCCGCATTTTCGTTTTTTCTTTTCGAATCGTTTAACGCGCGGCGAGAAACGATCCTTCTCCGCTCCCGGGATGCTTTCATCCATGATGGATATAATCTCGAGCGGATCTTGATTCTCGTTTCGAACATATAGAATGGATGGAAACGAATTCTTAACAGCGTTAAGAACGCAAGAAATTATTACACGGACGAGGACCATCCATCCATGTGGATGACGCGGGTTTGCGGATTGTTTAAGTGTTTCTAATTCAGGGAGCTCGTTCAAGAGTTCTTATTGATTGACGACACGTAGAAAAAGCGACGTGGAAAATGCCAAGCAAAAGACAGAGAAAGAGTGACAATATACATATGTATACGCGTGCATCCTGTTGCATGTGGAGATTGAAGCGAAGAGAATGTGTGTACGTTTTGTCCTTCGATTTCTAGCAAGCGCATTCAGCAAGTTAAATCCGTGCATATTTCCTTCTCTTTTTTCTTTTTTTTGTAATACGATTTTTACTTCGCGAATTCTTTTTTTTTTTTTCCATTCAATCTTCAACGAATGCCGGGCTATCTTGATCAATCATTCTTTCTTCTTGATCTCATCATAATTTGTTATTATTTGTTATTAGATATCATTACATATAATTTTGTATAACGAGAGATTATTATCGCCTTATTTGCATGATCAAAAACGAACCGACATTCGCTTGCGTCTTTTTAATTACACGATTACAATAAATATTTTCCACTTAATAACAGCGTTGGCCGCAAGTCGAAATTTCCAAAATTGCTATTATATAGGCCACGGGCACACAGAGACACACAGAGAAGCGGAAAAAAGCAAACGAACAGGCAAACAGAAGAGGAATAACATATTTTCTCCCCCTCCTGAATTCTTCAGCATTCGTTCTCGTTCACAGCTTTCAAAAAAAAAAAAAAAAAAAAAAAAAGAAAAAAAAAGAAAAATAAGCGACGTTACTTAAAAAAGTGCAGCAAATAAAATGTAGCAGCGGAAAAACGTAGGCAGGCTTAATTAAAAAATTCAAACCCTCGACCCACCGTCCACCCCCTCGATTGCGGGCGTCAGAGAAAATAAGTTTCGCGTTTTCGTTCAAAAGTTCGACAGTTGTTGGTTAACTTTGAAAAGAGAAAAAGAAAGAGAGAGAGAGAGAAAGAAAGAGAAAGATAAAGAGAGAGAAAGAAAGAAAGAAAGAAAGAGGGAGAGAGATAGAGAGAGAGAGAGATAGAGAAAGCTGACCCCTCGCATGCGAACCGGCACCTGTTCTTGCGTGCGTGTGCGGCGAGCTAGCTAGTGCGTAAAGATTTCGTGTCTCTCTACGTCTTACCAGAGAACGTTCGTTCGTTAACGAGCAACGAAATCGGCCGCTGCCATCTTGCTATCTCGTAACACACTCGTGCAGCGCTTTATATATATATATTATTGGATACACATTAGATTCACATATCACGTGACAATGTAGCATTTGTGTTTTTTCGATCCACGATATAAATATGCCACACGTAATGTGTACACATGGTTTTCTTACCGTTACATCATTATTATTTTTTTTTTTTTTTTTTTAACGTCTAATCAGGATGAGTGTGTAAGATACGATTGGGGAGGAGTGATACAGATTTTTTTTTTTCTTTTCTTTTCTTTTTTTTTTTTTCTCCCTTTGTTTTCAATGTAATTTTGGATAAATCCGGATCGGTAGCACCGTCACGGCCATTCGTCGGTGAGAATAATAATAATAATAATAATGATGATGATGATGATGATGATGATGATGATAATAACAATAATAATAATAATAATAATAATAATAATAATAATAAAAATAATAATAATAATGCATGATCGAATCGAAAGAAACGACAATCTAATGTCGGAGAACAACAGACAAAGAAGGGTGGGCTATTCGTGTCAAGGAGGATTAAACGTGATCGGATCTCGCGTTTCCCTCGTTTCTGTAAACCTCGTGGACGATGCTTCATGTGATCAAGGATCGTTGCAAAAGGGGTCAGACGAGGAATAAAGAAAGGGGGGGAGACGCGAGAGGGAAGCTGGAAAAGGGGGTGCTAAATATCAATAACAATGACTACGACACAACAACGATAACGGTATATGGCACGACTCAAAGCACCACCACCACCATCTTCTTCTTCTTCATCGATGTCGCAAGGTTCAGAGAGGCGACATTGTGTGCAGGATTCGTAAAGAAAAAAAAAAAAAAGAAGAACGAAAACAAAAATAACAATAAGAAGAAAAAAAATTAACATGGAAAGTGATTTTCGTGATTTGATTGTCAAATCCCACGAACAAATCACTCTACGATAAACGAACGATGAAAGAAGGATGAAAGAGGACAGGAAAATTCGAACGAGAAGAAGAAGAAGAAGAAGAAAAAGAAGAAGAAGAAGAAGAAGAAGAAATAGAAGAAGAGATAGAAGAAGAAGTATTAAAGGGAGTATTAACAACGGACGCACAGGTGGTGTACAGAGTGTGAGAGATGCGGATAGAAAGAAGAGAATAGAAGACAGAAAACGAAAGAGTTAGAAAGATCGTTGATCGTCTACCGAGGCCGTCGGACGATCCCTCAGCAACATCGCTAAGGGTACGTCGATGCTTGTTCCCGCCTTTGGTCGCCTGCAGGTGACACGATATAAGCAAGATGGCGGCGGCACGTGCCGCACCTGCTCTCGACGATGGTACCAGGGGACCGCGGCTACCACCGCTGCTAGGCCTCCTGGAGAATGCATAGGTCAACGGTCCTCCTGTGCTGCTCCTCTGACTGGAACGCGACGATGGTCGGCCACCGTGAAGCGTCAATGGAATACCTGTTGGATCGTTTTTAATCAGCAATCAAAATTCCGTTATAAAATTTATACTAATGGATAACTAACGATCGTTCAAGCACGATAAATTTCCCTCACTTCAACGTCGGATACGAATAGGAAAAGCAACTTTCAACCGGTGAACAGCACTGATCTACGATCATTAGAGATCGTTCTAAGATTTATTCTCAAGGTCTGAAACGAGGGTGAAACGAAAATGGGCGTCTTCGGACTGGTATTTTTCATCGATACTTAACTATCTATCGATTTTACGGCGACGAGAGTGAGTTCTTAATGGAGTATAGCGTGTGGAGTATCCTTGACACGTTCACGAGCAAATCGTTTCATCATTGATTGAATAAGAAAAGAAAAAAAAAAAAAAGAAAAGGAAAAAAAAGTCGACACAATGGAATAAAAGTTTTGCTCGGGCGTCTATCATGAATACTCACCCGTGTCGCTGGAGAAGAGCATAGGAGGCGCGTGATTGGCGTTGGCATAGTGCCGCGGTCTTGAGTATCTCGCGCGGCTGAATAACTTGAGCACGAAGCATATCATCGCCGTGAATACCGCTATTCCCGATGCTATGCAGAGCAGGGTCGGAATATCTGTCGTTATCAGCACCAGATCTGCCAACGAATTAAAGGACGAAACGCTTTAATACGTCTTCTACAGGTGTTCTACAGGAACAATTTCTCAACACGGTAGATTCCACGAGGAAGAGGAATTAAGATCTACGTTTCTCTAAATTGTAATCGTGCAATATATATATATATATATATATATATATACTACGATATATACTACGAGTATTCGAGTGCTGTTCGAATCAGTGTGACGTATTAGCTGGCACGATATACCTTCGGCGCAGAACACCTTCTTGCTAGGCCTGGACAAGGAAACTCTATGGTAACCCTCTTCGCAGTCGCATACGGCATTGTGTTGCACCTGGGTGCAGGTCGAGTGTTGATCCGCAAAAGTGCAACTCGCGCGATAGAAACATTGCTCTCCGAGTCTTTTAGCTGGAAAAACGGGTTTTATTATTTCTTCAACCTCTCGCTGCTTTATGTATTTCGATTCGATTTCTTTCTTCCCCCTTCTATTTTCATATATAAGGTCAAAATTAAATTACGAAAGATATAGGAAGGAAGAGAAGAAAATAGACGATTCGTTCAAAGTTTTTGTTATAACAGTTTCTGTGTTTCTTCGTGTAAAATATTTTCTTCTTTCATTTGGTTGATAGATAGAACAATCGACGTTTATTTTCTTTGCTTCGGTTTACACGAGTTGTGTGCTTCTCGATACTATCGGAACGACCTACTTGAACGTGGAAATTGGAAAAATATATCGATACACCGATGCAAGAGTACGGAGTACGTACGTTTGGCACATCCTTTCGAGGGGCCGAGACGAACTGGATAGAATTTTTCACACTCGCAGAAACCAGTGACCGTGTCGCAGAACACGTGCTGCAGTTTCGGATTGCACGAGACATCGCACGGCGAGCCCAGCTGCTGCCCCTTCGCTGAAAACAGACAAAATCGATAAGCACGCTAGATTATCTACGACGTTTCTCGATGAGTAGATGAAATATCTAGGTTGATTTCTTAAAATAGCTCACGCTACTCATCCAATCATCGACTAGTTGCGTCGCACTTGATCCCTCGTTCTATTCAAAAATTTAATCAATTCAGTCTGCAGATAGAGTAGTTTTATTTTAATCCCCGAGAGCGATACGATCTTCGTTTAAATCTTGTGCAACGCACACGTATGCGTATATAATATGCAATATATATTTATAACAATTATAATAATTCGTTTTTCTTTTCACATCAAAATGTCAAATTGAAAACGCGCGAATATTTGATCAACAATAATATCTTTTCCGTGTCAATGATTCAAAGGAACTGCGAATTTCGAGTCGTAATATAACGAATAACGTGCAGCAATTTTTTAAAACGAATCTAACGACTTACGACCATTTCGTTTGACCCTTTTAATCTAATTAAAAAAAAAAAAAAATTTTAAATATTTATTTCGTTTTATTTACTTTATTTACTGGTTCGTTTTAATTAAAGAAACGTATATATTCGAGGTACGCGCAAGTTATTTTATCGAGCGATAATACATTCTTACAAAAGAATCACTCGCGAACGGCGCTCCCCATTATTTTCACCATTGTCACTTAGTTTTCCGATAAAGATATCATTCTCTTTCAACTATTATTCCCGGATCCGATACACGCCTCTTGTCCTCCTCCTCTTTGACGTGCAGCCACGGCCCGTTGTCACGGGCGTTCGTTTCCCGAGCCCCTGAATAAGCATACATTCTGAACGATTAATGAAGCAAAGAAGCCATTGTTACACACTCTATCCAGGCCACTTTCTCGCATCAAAAGATGTTTGATATCTGGCGCGCCTTTGTAGACGACGTCGAGACTGCGTCCTTCTCGCGTCGTCGATTTTTCCAATGACGTTTTCTCCACGCGGAATTGAAACCTCGACCAGCCAACATTTTACCAGACGAATAAATTGGACGATTTTTTTTCTTTCTTTTCTTTTTTTTTTT